CCCTCGCCAGAAAACACATGAGCTTTCCAAGGGATTAATCCCCAAAACCATCACACATCCCAGGAGATAAACACACATTTGGCACCTCAACCAACCACAGGAGGGTGATACCCTTCAAGCAGCAGAAGAATTACACAACTCGTGTTCATGGGTTATAAAAGCCCTTTTATAAAGCCATTTTTAAACAAAACCAAAAAGTTTACAAAAGAAAATAAAAGATACAGAAGAATGAGTTGCTTAATATATTCCAAAAAGGAGAAAAATAAAAGAGGGGACACAATTCCAACATGCTGAACAATAAAAGGGTTCTTTTTCCTCGTGGTTCTTTTTCTTTTTTTTTTTCTTTTTTTTTTTTTCCTTTTTTTAATACAAAATACAAGCGAAGGATACACATACTTAAAACAGAGCTCAGGAGCAGGTATGCAGTCCTGGGAACCCTTTCAATAAAAGCAAAGCAGGGTTTTGTTATTTTTGTTTTTTTTCTTTCTTTCTTTGCAGGTACATACAGAGACTGGAATATGTAAAATTAAGTAGCACAAAAGACCATCACACAATTCTACCAATGAATGTTGCATCTATAAATTCACGAACATGGGCGACAGTCATGTTCACTTCAACCCCTTGGAAAAAAACAAAAACCAAGAAGAAAGTGTGGGGTTCATTTTTTATTTTAAATAAAGCATTAACGTTACATTCAGACTTAACTCCTAGTACCATGCTTATCTCAGTGTTGTCAAGGTATTGCAAGAGTTGCCAACCCCACTGGGCCCAGAGGTGACTGTTTGCAGCTGCCCCTTTTCTGTCTGCTCTTGAGATCAACGACGACGACAAAAATAATTAAAAAGGATGGGGAGGGGAACTGCAAAGAGCCTGATTTTTAGAAAAGCTCAGCAGGGGATTGCAAATACTCAAGACAAATATTCATTGCATACCACAGAATGACGCCTTGCCCAAGGCCCTACCTGGAGTCTCCTCCTCTACCTTCCCGCTGATTTATTCAGGGGTTTTGCTGTGACGCGACGTTAGAACGGAAAATTAACGCAGCTCTTATTTACAACTTTAATTTCGTTAACAATTGCTTCTGCGGGAGAGGAAAACCAAAAAAAAAACAAACAAAACAAAAATAATTAAAAAGAAAAAAAAGTCAAACTCACAAAGCTCGTGAACACAAAGGGATCAGATGGCAGACGCTCCCAGGCGCGCACTCACACCCGCGGCACTCACACACCACAGACCTGGGGGGCTTTTACACACATTTAAGTCTGGCTTAAGCTGATTTGAGGGATTTCCTCCATCCCACCCGCTACCCTCCCCCCCTCCCCCCACACACCCCCTCCCAAAATATATATATAAAAAAACCCCCCTCGCCCCAATATACAAAGCATATGCACAAGGGTGGTTTGCAGTCACACTGAGCATGCTGGGCCGGCTGCAGGGGCAGGAAGGCTGAGTCGGGGCCGACAGTGGTTGAGACAGAGTCAGCACGTGGCAGGACTTGACTAGACTTAGAAAGAGTGGTGGGTTTTTAGTAGAAAGAGTTCAATGAAAAGACATTCAAATGCCAGTCAACTAGCGGAGTGGGGAGTCTGGGATGAGGGCACGCTTGGTTTGGGGGAGGTCTCGGAGGGCACGGTCTGATGCTCCTCAGAGCACTGAAGGAACAAAACAGTTACTGCTGCTTCCTATTCGATTAGAACTGCCATTTGAACCTCCCAAAACTGTAAGGAAAATACTCAAGAAGCTCAGGGAACGTTTTTTTTTTTCCTATTTGATCATATACATATAGAATATATAAATTTCCACATATAGATGTCACCACCCCCCTCCCCAAAACTAACATCTCCTCTATGCCAGCAACTACCTCGTGACAGTGTCCCTTTAAATATCCATCTGCTTCATTTTCACATCCTGCCTCCCCTCAACAGATGAACGTCCACTTCTCAACCCAATATTAAACTCTCGGATCAGTTTTGTAGGTTTTAAGAACCATGTGTTCAACAATATGATCTGTTATAAAAATAAACACTCCACAAACAAATTACATAAAGCAAAGCACCAGTTTCTACAGCTCAAAAGCTTCCAGCATGTTACAGTTTGCTTCCCTCCCCTCCTTAACCTGGGTGCCTCAGGGTCTATTGTACCTTTGTGACCATCACCAGTGGAGGGAAAAAAAAAAGGGAAAAAGGAAAAAACCAGGAATTCCAGCACATCTTCTGCCACTGTCCCTGGCTGTCCATCACCTCCTGTGCTGGCACAGGAGCTGAGCAGGCTCAGAACCATTACCTGGCTCTGGTGTCACCCAAGGTGTGCTGGGTTCTCTCCCCTCTCTCTCTCTCTTCTGCTCTGATGAAGTTAAAACAGAATTCAAAGCCTCTCAGCTGCCCCGTTTTTGTCAGGCTCTCCCCCACAGTCCACTCAGAAACCCGCTCAGCTCAGCGTGGTGGGCACTCTGATGCTGATCAGAAACTGCAGCAAATCACCTTCAATATGAAATTCCAACTGAAACTGCCACTTCTGACTGATCAAACCTTCTCCGAGGCAGGACTGTCGGCATGAACTGCAAAACTCAACGTGGTGGTGTGGATTTAGAACGTCCAAAAGAAATTATAGTACAAGTTATAAACTGCCATCTTTTAATGGTGAGATCAGGGCAGGACTCAAGACTTGACTAAACTTTGGAATAAATCCATTTACCTCTCTGCAGAGGCTCCAAAACTACAGCTGTGCAAGAGAAGATTTTCAAAGCCTCCCGTGAATGAAAACTTTCTGCTCCACAGAGAACCATCCGTGCTCCCAAAGAAAGGCACTTGCACAGCTTTCCTTGGAGAGATCAGAATGCTGAACACTAATTAATTAAGAAAGGACATGGAAAAACGTGAAGCTGCTGCTGCTGCTACTGGAAAATGGTGTGTGCTAAAATTAATAGAAAATCATAAAAATATGAATGTAAAAGGGCTGCGTTTTTAACAGAGCAGCCAAGAGACCATCAGGGCTTAGTGTTGGCATAAATCAGAACAAGAAGATTTAGAAAAAAGTTACAAAATCCCCAAAGCACGGGATTTGCATCGTGTTTGGGATGTGACGAACTCAGAAAATCAGCACCGTGGAACAGCCACGAGAAATGAGTGTGTGAGGGGAAAAACAAAGAACAGTCCTGTGAGACAAAGGGCCAAACTCGCCAGGCATAAAACAATCCAGTCCCAAAACCTGAGCTGAGATCAAAGGAAAGAGATTTTTTACAGCCTGAACTTTCCTTAACCGTGTCGGGGAAAATAAAAAGACCCCAAAAAATACGTATTTTAAGCAGAACTCAAAAAAATACACTCTTCTGAAAAGATCTATAGCGGGTGAAGAACCGGTTGTTTGACCACATGAACTGCAAATATAATCCTCGCACATTTCAATACCAACTAAGAACCCAATGGACAAGAAGAGCTTGAAACATGGTCTGGATTGGAGGGGAACAACTCTGAGAAGCAAACACTGTCAGCAGTGTTTGCTCCCCCCCCAAATTTTTAAAATATGGCCATTTAATTTTTCCCATATTCCCCAGGAAGTGCAGGACTTGGAGCAGAGGGAATGCAAGAGGCTCTGCTCTCCCAGAAATCAGGGCAGAGGCGCTGGGAGAGGAGAGGGGATTTACATTCACTTCTTTCTCGAGACTGGGGGCTTCGCTCCAGGCCTGGAGGCTGCTCTTGGAAAAGTGGAACCACTTCAAAAATGAAAGATTTACAATCGAAACAACGATCATCTTTATTGTAACGGCAACAGTAGTTTCATGAGAGTAAAGAACGTTAAGAGAACTTGAAATTTTTTATAAGCCAAGGTAAAGTAATTTACCAGCCTCAATAAAAAACCAGGGCTATGAACCACACAAGATAAACCACTCAGCTGTTGCATTAATATTCCACTCCCCAACCTGAGGCATCCTCAGGCTCCCTATGGGTTCAGCCAAGTGTCCTTCCTGATCATATTAGTGTATGACATCGAAGAGCTCTCTAAAATCCAAACAGGATTACGAACCTGGTAGCATGAGCTACCAGAAATCCAACTAATTAGCTGCCTTATGTTACACCTTCAAGAGGCTGGTTACAAAAGGTGTAGTTCTGTGACAAAAAAAAAAACAACCAAAAAAAAAAAATAAGATGCAAAGCTTGTCAGCTGGAAGATAACCGTGAGCAACGTACAGAAGCACAGAGGGTTTAAAGGGAACAAAAAAAAAAAAAAGAAAGAAAAATGGCAGGTCCAGTTTTCAAATATTTCCACCAACAAACATGGCAGCAACCTCTGTTATCAGGGTTTGAAAACCAAGGCTTGTGTAGTTTAATGGAGGTTTAAAAATAACAAAACAAAACAAAAAAATATCCCAACAAGAAAGGACGTGGCTGCTTTGATAAAAGCACATTAAAATGCCACCACACACATCTCGAGTGTCTTGCATTTAGAGGGGCCTCCTGCTCTCCTTCTAAAACACAGTCCTGCTTCCAACACTCCCCTTCCTCCCAGCTCCATCCCTCAGCAGTTCCCAGGCTCGGGGGGCTGGCCCAGCAGATTGTGTGGCTGTGGATGGAGTGGGCTGGGTTGTGGGGATGGTCACTGCCTGCTGTCCCACTCTGCAGCTTTTCTGAGGACAGATGGAGGGAGAGAAGAGAAACACTAAAGCCTGACTCATGGGATCCAAGACTGACCAGAGCACTACGGAATCCTTTGCTTCACATTTACAGACGGACATCCCTCGCCCCCAAACCCTAAAGAATTTCTTTTTTTACACTATCCATTTTTTTTTTTTCCTCCTTGGAAAAACACTCTGAACGACATTTTCCACAAGACCAAATGGAAACTGGTTTCAAAAGTTGTTTGTAATTTCTCTTCCTTATTCTGCCCATCTACAGCCAACCCTGAAGAAGTAAAGTGGAGTTCATGGATGTGGGAAGCTTGTAAGTTGTATATCTGGGTTTGTACAGAATGGGCTGCAATTTGCCTACAGCAGAACAGTTTTCTATCCAGCAAAGACAAAAAAAAAAAAAAATTAAAAATCTCCCATCCTAATTGGAGGGTCTTTTCTAAATCAAAGACACTGGACCATCTCCGGGTCTCTTGATTGCTTTCCATGAAAAACGTGCCTGAATCCAAGGAATACAGGTTTCCTCCCTGTATCTCCTTTTCCTCCACTGGAATTATATCAACTACATTTTTTTCTGAGAGTGAACTCATCTCAACAAAAGTCTGTTAAAGCATAGTTTTTTTTTTTTTTTTCTCTCCATATATTCAAATACAGAATAATAGTTTTAAAACAACTCTTACCAGCACTGGGAAAAATCTATTCTACTTAAGGATTTGTAAGTATGGTTTCCACATATCAGTCGTCAAACCTTATTGCTTCACAACTGCAATATCCCTTGGAAAAAAAAAAATATATTTAATGGTCTGTTAATTTGTCTCAAATGGCTTTCAGATTTGCTGGGGGAGGGAGAACGGAATGGCCAACAGAGAACATTGACTTCAAAATATTACTGTATAAGGGTTTCCTCTTATTAAAAAAGGATACACTGTATTAAACAGCTGAAAGTAAAGACAGCATTCAAAGCCCATGAGTCAAGCCACAGCCAAAACCGTGTTCTACCCCTAAAAGTATGTTTTTCTTTTCCTTTTTCTTTTTTTTTTTCCTCTTTTTTTTTTTTAACCAAAGATTTCCTCAACTGCCATTTAATCTTCACCAGAGGGTGCTTCATCTTCAGATCCCTCATCCCCTGACTTCTCTGGTGGAGGGCTGGCTGATTTTTTCTTTTCTGGGGGGCTTTCAGGCTCTTCATCCTCTTCTTTGGGGGATGGGGTCTTTTCTTTCGTTGCCTTGGAGGCTGTGGGGCGACCTCCCTTCCCTTTGCCTTTCACTGGACTGGGGGTCACTGAAACAAGAGAAAGCTTGTAAAACTCTCCATCAGCAAAGGCAGAAAATAACCTGCAAAGCTGAAGTGAAAATCAGCTCACAAGATTTTAAAGCTGTTTCATGGCAGGTCCTGACTAACTGTGACATCACGAATGAGCACCAGCTCTTGTCAAACCAGAACATACATTACCTATTAAACTTCAAACTTGCTGCAGAAATGCATGGAGTTCTCCTTTGGTTCAGATTTCCCCACCTTACCCCAGACTAAAAACACCACAGAGTCCCCCAAAAAGCCACAAATTGTATTATTTGGCTACAAGACAGAAAAAAATCCCAATGCAGCACCTCAACAGGGAAGCTTTTGAATACTATGCAGTTTTAACCAACAAGATGTAGATTAATTCAATCCCTTAAGTAAGAATTAAAGCCACCTTATTATTTCACATTACTGCTTTAAATCATGGCACTTTAGCCCTTCAGCATTTATGTGGGTGCCTGCTGACCCCAAGATTTCTACCAAGTCCTTTAACAGCAGAAAAAGAAAACAACCCAAGGCAAACTGAGCAGCTTTCTTTGCAGACTCACCTGTAGCCTTTAGCCTGGGCTTGGGCATTTTCTTTTCTTTCCTCTCTGGCTTGGATTTCTTGGAGACCTTCTTATTCTTCTTTTTTGAACTGCCATAATCACTGTCATCATCATCTTCCATGAGGAAGTCTTCATCACTTCCTGAATCTGCTGGAAGCATAAAGAAATTTAAGTTTTTTTTGAGGGCAAAGAGGAAATGGAGCAGAAGATGAGAGACCTGCCAGTGACACAGGACACAGACTGAGACCCTGTGAGCTCCCACTTATCTGCTGGGCTAAAACACCTGGCTTGGTTTTTAAATCATCTGAGAGTAGCATCATCAGTGCCTTAAAACCAGAGGGACAGCAAGAAGCAGTGAGAGCTTTATAACAATCCTTGTAGGGCTGCTTACAAGAAACATACATCTGCAAACTCTGAGCACAAATTCTAGGGGTGAAAAACCGAACCTTGGTCTGTTGGACAGTACAAAGTAAATTAGTAAGAAGGACAATTGATGCCTTTGGTGTCATGGTCAAAAAGCAAACTGTTCCTTCTGCTGCGTGGCCAGACACAAACTCACACCTGCTACTACTACACATCAGTTCATCACTGATGTGAACTCTTTACAATCCCATTTACTCACTCTCCTGGAACTGGGCCTCATCATCCTCCTGCTCTTCCTCCTCGCTTCCCACGTCATCCATGAGCATCTCCCGCTGTTTGGAAGCCGCTTTGGACGCCGCCTGTCGCTGCTGACGGACGTTTTTGTGATCCTCCTTCTCATCCTCGCTGTCCTCTGCAGCAAAAGGCACCAGGTTATGAGGGATGCACAACACAGACCCCCTGTCTTGAGTCTGCAAGTCATCAATAGGAGAGTAAATCAAGAACTCACTGATAACTGAGCTGTGAGGACAACACAGTCACATTCAACATAATAAATACCTTCCTGTAGTCACCCAACTGCCAGTAACCTCCTTTTTTTTTTTTTTATTTTTCTTTTTTCTTACCTGCAGGCCTTTTCCTGGATTTGGAGGCTGCTCTCTTATTCTTGTCTGGTTTAGCCTTTTTTCCTTTTTTGCTTTTTTGAGAGCTCTCATAGTCACTGTCAGCCTTGCCATCATCTGCTCCTATATCATCATCTTCGCTGCCAAAATCTTCATCTGGAAGGAAAAGGTACCAAGATGAAGTTTCTTGTATCACTCTGAAACGTGGATGGAAACTACAAGTCTATCCACCTGTGAAGACAAACTTTATAGTACCATCACATTACACCAAAAAAACCCCACCACATTATCCCAAAGCAGGGTGGGAGGTGACAGCAGGAGAGGCAGAATCCAACTTAAGGTAAGTGTATTAGAGCAGTGCTGCTTTTCTAGTCAGAACTGTGTCAAATCCTACTCCTGCAACTCCCACAAACTGGTTTTGAAGAGACTCTGCTTGTTCTGAAGATGTGTCGGTACAATGGAGTTACCTGCTGAGTGTGAATCGTCTTTCTTAGTCTTCACATCTTTGTCTTCTGAATCCTCACTGGAAATGAGAGAAAGACAAAGTCTGACTGCTGTTATAACTTTGCTTTCAGCCACTGTTGTGGGGAAAATAAGCATTTTTAAAGAGCAAACTGATGTCTAGGCTGGGAACATGCACTTTTCCTGGATATTATCATGTTATACTTCAGGCTTACTGTGGGGTATGTGCAGAACAACAAAAGTACCAAATGGCCCCTGCAGCATCCCACTTAACCTGTAAGGCCAGGAATGCCCTGAGCACACACTGCAAACACGGAAAATGAACTGCATCTCACCACCAACTCACCTGGACAATCATCCCGGCTGCCAACTTTTGTACCTGGGATCATATTCCTCCCTATTCCAACTGTCTGGCTCTGGAAAGCTATTTCAGTGATGGAGCACCAGTGACAGGTGCTTCACACATGATTTCTCTGTCTGCTCAGATAAGGAAGAACCAGCTCACTGTCTAAGCTGGTTATGCAAGTTCTGAGCCCGAGAGCTCCCAGTCTCACCCTGCAGACTCGAATTCCACCTGCAATCACTCCTCCTGCAAGGTCCCTCTCCCCACACACCCACAGGGACACGTTCCCAAGAGCTGAAGTGCTGCTTTTACCTGTCCTCCTGAGAGTTCTTCCCAGATCTCCTCTTATTTTTGGCCTCTCGGGGAGACGAGCGGATTTTCTTGGATGGGGGCCCTGAATCTCTTCCATAATCTTCATCTGGACGGGACAGTACAAAATGGGTTTGAATCAAACTCCTACTTGCCAGCAAACTGCCTTCCTCAGCTCTAACTTAAAACTGATCATTTCATGCACAACAAAAAGAGGTCCTTCAAAAAAAAAACAAAAAAACAAAACAACAAAAAAAATAAAACAAAAAAATAAACCAACCAAGCAAGATCACAAAGCTTCAAAGGAGATGTTACAGAAGCAAAGTCCTGCCTTAAACTTGTGATTGGCCTTTTCTGGTGCCAACAAGCACAATAAAAATGCTGTGTACGGTCAGGTCTGACACAGGGGTGTTAAGAAACATTAAAAAAAAAACCTCACCAGAGGACACAGAATCTCATTTTACACTAGTCAGTTATGATATAAAGCTATTAAAAATTAACATCCATACATATTTCTTCATGTTTTTAACAGCAAACACTATTTACTGTCCTCTGCTGGGGAAAAGGATGTCATTATACAGGAGTTTACAGCACAACTTTTTACAGCTCTGACACAATACCTTCTTAACAGAGCTGCAATTAAGAACTAAGCATATTTGTTTCATATTAATTATCAGTGTCATCTGATAAACAAACAGCAGGATTGTGCCTGTCTTCTAAGAACTCAAAACATATTCCATATGGCCCCCAGAAAACATTCTTCAACTCACACAGAACATAAAGATTATTATTTTTTTAGATGCCATTCCCCAAAATGCCTGATATTATGGGCCCAACCAGAGTCCACTAAAATAAATGGAAAACATATTTTCCTGCAGAAAAAAAGTGGCATTAGGGAGATCCAGGACATAACATAGACCAGGGAAGGAAGTTGCTGCCAAGAGCCTCAAGGCACTACAACAATACAAGCATTAAATAATAAGATTTCTATCACCATTGTTTGTTTAATACAAAACATATGAAAACCATTACATTTTCAAATACTTATTAACAGTTCGAGCTGTGAAGAGCAGGAACTCCTCAGAATTTGAATTAAAGGCAAACAATTAATATGCAAGGCAATCATGATGAACTGCTCTACCCAAGAATATGAGATTGTTAAGAAAAAAAAAAGTCATTTACCAGCATCATCTGATTCCTGAAACTGGGAGTAATCGACCACCTTCCTGTTCCTGGTAAAAAGCAGGAAAAAAAAAATTAGGAATACAATTAGAGGTGAGGAATCAAAAAATTATAGAGATACAAAAGCTTTCTTTAAGAAACAAGGAAGTGCCATATCCTCGCTTCCAGTGCTGGATTTGTAGCCCAAAAATATCCCAAGGAAACTCTCATAATCAGCCACCTACACCTCTGAAGGCAGAAGTGAAGACACAGTATATTCCAGCATTTTCCTAAGGAAATAATAGTAATAATTTTCCTAAGGAAATAATTGTAATAGTCTGGATTATAATCTCAGGAGTCTGAGAAAACTTTTTGGTAAGCACACAAATATGTGCTTCTGCTTCTCACAGCTCAATATACCCCACAAAAACATTCTCCTGGAATGTTTGTTTTCCTGTGTGATCCCCTGTTTCTAAAATCACTTTTAAGTTTTCACTGGGGCTTCTGGGAGTTTTCTCCAGGAGTTCCAGTGATCCTCCAGGAAGATGCCACAGCTGTGCCACTGGGCACAACAAGGAACCCAGGCACACAATTCACCCCAGCTGTGTTTGTAATGAATAAACCTGTATTTTTTTTACCTCCCGGGCACCTCCTCTGCTCTTTAACCAAGCTGAGAGTGGCACAGGTACCGAGGGATCATCAGCTGTGCAAATGCAATGGCCAATTCTACACAAAATTAGTTACCTACACAAGCAGCTATTACTGAAACCGAAACCTCACTGCTCAAGAAAATTAGATCTGCTTCTCTAACTTACTGAAAGCTCAAAAATTAAATGAAATGTAAGGAATTGGTGGGTTTTTTTCATCAGCACCTTGTCAATTGAGGCCCAACTGCTTTATTGACAAGACATAAGTGCCCTGTGATGCAGCTACTTGAGGGAACCAAGCCAGACCCATAAATGAATTATATGTGAGTTCACTGAGAATGTCTCAGCCAAACTCAGACTCCAAACCCTTCCTGTAACCGCTCACATGGAATGGGAGGAGGAGGCACAGCTGGAAAAAGGCCCCAGAGGTTCAAATACCACTCCCCTCCACAGTCACTTTTTTACAATCCTTTTGGCCCAAAGCCAGCGAGAAGTTTGATTTTGCAGGGATCATCCCATGAGCTCACTTGTACAGCTCGGGGAGTCAGGAAAGCACTGATGAAGAGCCCTCCCCAGCACCTCAGACCTGAGGAGATCTGCAGGGGGAAGGCAAGAGCAGCTCCATCCACACAGGGATCCACCCTTCCCCTCCCTCTGGGCAACTTCACACCCCGCTCCCAGAGCTGAGCTGCACCTTGGCATTAACAGCAGGCACTGCTGATAAGCCTGTTCAGCTGAAAGACACCCAAAGTCATCACTGCTCTGGCTGCTGATCCCTCTCCAATCAATCTGAAGTTGCCCTCCTGTACAGGCACCTTCAACTCGTGGCTCACAGCACCAGCCTTCAAAAGGGGAAACAGCGAAACTGGGTTCCAACCCTGCACTGAGACTCTTCAAACAATTATAAAGCAAAAAAACAAAGCCAATCCCTCAAATTAAAAATAAAATCAAACAGGTAAATAGCAGTGATTGGATTTCTCCAGGCTGAATCCCATCCAAGCCTCAGAGCACGTGTGAGTACAGCAGCACTGTGGTGCAGAGCAACTGCTCACTCACACAGCCAGAGCAGGGTAAAATACCAATTCAGGAGCACAGTTATTGGCAAGGCTTGTCATGGCTCATCATCCAGGGATTTACATTCCTATTCCAACAGGTAGTCCTCCTGAAGATTGCCTCCTGACCCACCTCACGTGGGAAAACACTGATTTTTATCCTGGTGAGCAGTTACATCAAACCAAACATCTTACTGAATAACTACCAACTATTACAGTTTTATTTTTTTCCTCCAAAGGCACAAATGGGGGAAAAAAAAAAAAAAAGGGGCAAAATTTCCACACATTCTGTTCCAGCAGCTTTGTAAAACAACGGTTTTGGACACCCCTAATCAAACAGGATGGAAATTGTAATACTGCCACCTTGCAAGTTGGTCATGCACAGTTCCATCTTGCTGCCTCCAGTCAGACACACGTTACATCAGGTACTGAAAATGCAACAGTACCAGCTAAAACATTAACAAAACCAGTGTCCCTATGGAAAACATCCTTTCTCCAAGCACTGCCCCCTGTGTTTTCAGCTGGGAGGTGAACCCTGCTCAGCTTTCCCTACCTGGTGAACAGGAGTTGTGGTATTTGAATCAAAAAAACCCCCAGAAATCACTATTTCAGAAGAAAACAGGAGAGAAGGCTGTTTCCTTGTGCCATCATCTTATTTTGCAAGGGCAAGGAGAGGGTGGAGGAGAGAAGGAATATTTGCACTGCTAAAAATCTGCCAGATCCCAACAAAAGCAGAGAGGCTCAGAGGGACAGAAACACCAGCCAACCTGCTCCTGCCCTTCTTCCTCACTTTATCCTCATCATTCAGCTCGTTTGGATCAACTGATGGTTTTATTTAGAACTGTCAACAGCACTTGATAATTACGAGTTTGCAACGAGGGACTGCAACGTTTCTTACACCAAGGAGATAAATCCACACTGTGCAAGTTCACTGCAAGAGCCAGGAAAAGAGATTGCTGGTGTTGTCAATGAAGAGGCTCTTTGCCACGAGCGAGATCCAGAAAGATGTTAAGGCAAGCAACCAGACATAAAAATAAACTCTTTGTTAAATCCAGTTAGACTGAGCATAAAAAGACAGGCTAGTGGACAGCTGGGGTGGGTATTGTTCAATCTGGCTTAAAATATGCACCGAAATTTAAAGGTAACTCCTTGCTAATTCAGCTTAACATTTAAAGTGCGTGTGTGAAGGAACTGGGGGACAAAAGGTACAGAGAGAGGTCTAAGAGCATAAGTTTTAATAACACTTCTGGAATAAACAGCAACTTATCCAGCAAGTCATCAACGTGTTGGGATGGAAGCACTTAGCAAAGCAATAAGTAATTTAAATACAGCTCAGAAATGCAGAGTAATTCTTGCAACCTCTACTTGATGCTGATCAGCCAGCCATTTGGAAATTATGGAAACCAATGTCAACATGTCAAAGGATCACTAAATGCCTCTAAAACTGAGCAGGAATTGTACAGCAGTACCTCATCTTCAGCTACTGAGGTCCCTAAAGCCTCAGTCACTGCAAGCCAACACATCAGAACAGACACTACAATCAGGGAGAAATATTATGGGTTTTTTTAAAGGGAATGCTTAGATCCCCAGGTATTTCTGCAGGCATTAAAATCCACAGATAAAGGCCAAGTCTGAAAAAAAAAAAATCCACAAGACATACTCCTGAAAAGCTAAAAGGAGCCTTCAAAAATCGAGTCACTGCTTTGAGTCTCGTCCTGCACCGAAGGGGAATGTCCAGGCCAAATGACAACCAGCAGGTGCAACAACCTCCCCTCTAACACCACACAGCAAGGGGAGTGAACCAGATTAAATGGTTACTGAGATCCTGTGCATCATTTAACCAACATAACCATCACACCAGGCATTTGTGAACAAAGCTACAGCCCCTCCCCTCACCCTCAGGGCTGGGGCAGCTCTGGCTCGGGGGGGGGCTTCACCTTCTGGTTCTCAAAGGTGTCCCCTTTGGGGCCAACATTATCAATAAATACTGCCATGAAAAGCACCTTTTGGTGCCTTTTTTTTTTTTTATACACAGAAAATAAAAATACCTGCAAGAAACACTTCTGGCTGTCACTTTTTAAGCCGCACAAAGCAGTGCTGGATTTGGGCCTTCCATGACCGTGGAGTTCCAATCCCCATCATGGTGACAATTATGGACCCAAAACACGTCACATGTGACTTGAAACCCCATCAAACAGTGAAATGATTTATGCAGCAACAGTTCAAGCAGCCTTGTGCCCGTTCTCTAGTGGAATCTAACTATAATTGAGCAGATTTTAATACAGAGGTGTTCTGGTGCAGAGCACGGGGAAGGAACCAAACCCCAGCAAGTGGAAGTGAGCAGTGAGGAAAACCAGAAACAAACTCCATTAAAAGTCAAAATTCTGACTTGAAACACATTAATTGATTGATGGTGTATATAAAAAAAGTGGTTTAAAGTATTTCATTTATTATATCCCTATAATATTTGATATTATAGGGATATAATATCACCACCAGCCCCAGCTGCTCTTTGCAGTTCTCAGCTGAGTTACCCACAGGAGGTTCAGTAATTTCAGGTTCCTTTATTTTTCACTTCTTGCCTTTTTCTAACAATAGTGCAAATACCATAAATATCCATCCAGGTGAAATTTAATTGTGTAGAAAGTACTTGGCACACGAAGCCTGTAAATACCAACACTTTATTACTACTCCTTAACAATTTTAAGGAACTGACTTCAACAACCAGTCCCAGTTTTAAGGCAGCATTCCATGACAAGTGCAGTAAAAACTGGGGATATATATGGTGGATTTTATTAACTTCACTGTTTTAGGGGCATATATATTCACTAGAAACCAGCAGACATCGTAAATTAATTCAAAGAACACTGACTAGAGGAAAACTTTCCCAACACTAAATCCTACTCTGATGAAGAGCCTTTCACCAGGATGCCATATCACCAACCACAAGCTGAGATGGCCAGAAAAAAAAAATCCATTTCAGAATGAATTTATTAATGGATTTAGATCTATTAGCAGAGCCCTCCAATTAATATTTAGTAGGGCAATAAATATACTGTAGCAGGCCCTGAGTATTTCCCTTTTTCCCCCTGGAAGGGCTGTTAAATACAGGCAGAGAGAGGACTGCTACCTCTCTCCTGCCAACAGGTTTTGTGCTCCCAACAACCTGCTGGACTTTGGTGCTTTCCAAAATTTCCCTGCAGACCTGGGCCTGTCAAACCTTTCACATCCCTGCAGGACTGGATGGGGGAGGGTTACTTATTTTTTTAGGTGTCACTTAAACATCAAGTACATCACCTATAAATACATATATGTATCGTGGCCACAATTAATTTGTATTTATTATTTAGAATATCCAAAATATCCACACATCCACACCCCAGACCAGGCTTACTGGGAATAAAAACACAACCAGTTACTGAAGCACCTTGAGAACGAAAAAATTTCAGAGCATCAGGAAAGCAACTTGAGAAACCACTTTCCTTTCCTACAGAAACAACTTAAATTGGAAATTCACTCTGTAAATCACAAGTTCACTCTCTCTGCAGAGAAGAGTGAAAAGGAAGGCATTCCTGCCCCCTTGGTAAACTTTCAGCTATAAGGCAAGTTCACAGAACCAGAGAATTTATACAGAACGTCCCGAGTTGGATGAGACACACAAGGATCATCCAGTCCAACCCCTGACCCTGCACAGACACCCCAAAATCCCACCCTGTCCCTCAGAGCGATGTCCAAACCCTCCTGGAGCTCTGGCAGTCTTGGGGCTGTGCCCACTGCCCTGAGGAGCCTGTTCAGTGCCAACCACCCTCTGGGGGAAGGACCTTTCCCTGACACCCACCCAACCCCTCCCTGACACAGCTCCAGCCGTTCCACGGGCACCAATTCCCGCTGCTGCGGGTTTCCAACCCCACCACGCCGCACCAGCAGCTCCTCGAGGTCCAGCACCGCTTCACCACGGACACAACCACCCCACCTACCTCTGCGAAACGCACAGCTCCCAAACAGCACCGCTAAAAAGCTTTTCCCTCTCCTCCACGACCCAACCCCTCCCCGGGAGAGGCGGCGGGGAAGGAGGGGGGCACAAACACCAGCAGGAAAACGACCCCGGAGCGCTGCGGGCGGGCGGGCGGGAGGAGCAGGGCGTGTGTGTCCTCCTCCTCCTTCTCCTCCTCCTCCCGGCGGCTCCTCCCCTCAGCGTGGTTCCCCAGCACAGCCCCCGTGGCCCGGACCCCCCTGGGGGTGGCCCCGCGCCCCCTCCCCGGGCGGCGGGGCAGGGGCAGGGGATGGGCGGGCGAGCGGCGCCCGCCCCGCGCCAAGTGGGTCACGGCGACAATTCCCTTTTTTTTTTTTCCCCCCCCTCCACACAACGTTACAAAAATGTGGGACAAGCACACGCAGGGCCGGCCACCCCCCAACCCCGCAGCCCGCCCCCAGCCCCGCGTGAGGCGCACGGCGCGGAACGCTGCGTTTACTGCGGTGAAGGCGGGCGGTTACCGGGGGGCAAACAAGGGGAAATAGAGGAGAAAAATGGGCACGGCCCTGAAAAGCGCGGCCTGCGCGGGGCCGCGGCCGCCGGGGCGGGAGAGGCGGCTGCGCGACTCACCTGACGGGCCGGGACATCTTCCCGGCGGGTTCGTGCCGCCCCCGGGGGGTGGGCGCGGAGGGAATGGGGGACGCTGAGGCCGCCGGGGCCGCTCGGAGCGAGCGGGAGCGCTGGGCCCAGCGCCTCAGGCCGCGCCGCTGGAGCTGCCTCCGCCGCCGCCGCCGCTGCTGCTGCTCCCCTCTCCAGGCGCCGCTACCGCCCCCGCTGCCGCTCCCCGCCGGCGCTCCCGGGTGCCGGTGTGGCCGCCCCGCTCCCGGCCCGCAGCCCCGGTGTCCGCGCCGGTCCCGCTCCCGCCGCTCCCCCCCGCAAAATGGTCGCGCTCGCCCCGCCGAGAGGATGCGAGCGAGGGGAGGGCGGCCCCGCCCCCTCCGCGCGCCGGGCCCCGCCCCCTCCGCTCGCCGATTGGCCGCCCCTCCGGCCGGGCCCGCCGCCATTGGCCCGTTCGAACCATCACGGCCGCGCACGGCCCCGCCCACCGCGCCCCCGCGGGGAGGGCGGCGCGCGCGGCCCCGCACGCGGCGGGGGCAGCAGCGGCAGATTCGCCACGGGGGGACCCGCCGGGCCCGTCCCGAGTCCCCCGAACACCCCGCACACCCCGCACATCCCACACCGCCCGCAGGGTCCCGGCGCCGCCCGGGCACCGCTGGGTTTGTTTGGTTTTTTTTTTTTCCCGCCTTCCTCTGCTGATTTCTTCAAGGCGCGGCGGGGGCCTCGGGGCCCGTCCCGCAGATTCGCCGCGCGGGCCCGGCGCGGTTTTGGAGGGAAAAACGCGGCCCCGGGAGCGGGATCGGCAACGTTGATTTTTGTTAGGAAAAAACCCCAGGGAATCACCCTCAGCAGTCGATTTTGTCCTCGGCACTGATGTCACCACCGCCACTTTCCCCGTGCTGGTCTGCAGTTAAGGACATGCACAGTTCATGCAAAGCCCACTGAAGATATTTGGGGTTTTTTAGGCTTCAAATTCCCTAGAAGCGCCAAAATTATTAATTTTGTTTAGAAAAGGAGCTGCTTTAACCATGGAAAAATTAAATGTATTCCACAGTCATTAAAATGGCAACAACTCACTTTTGCTTTGCGCTTGGATCTTTAGACCATCCTTCCGTTTTATTTTAAAAAGCACTTAAAAAGGTATTTTTATATGCTGGGTTCTCTGAAAATACTGGTTTGGCAATACAAACATGGTCAGCTTTATGGCAGTAATTATAATGAAATGATAATTTGAGTTCATTTAATGCCCTGCTTGAGCTTCATTTGTCCCCTTTGGAATTATTGCCATTTTTCAGCCCGATCCAGCTGTGCCCTGTCCTTTGTGCCAGTCAATACCCATGAAAATCGAGCTGATCAGGGAGAAAAAGAGGCACTTGGAGCAACTGCCTGCACATCCAGCCCCAAAATATCCCGAATTACCGGGCCCTGGGGGGGAAGGTGCAGTAACCACATCAAGGAATTCTTTGCTCCCTGCTCCGAGCTGGATACGTTGGATTAAAAGCCGCTCCGGCTGACTCACAGATGCACCAGTTTTGCATGTTTATAGAGCAATAAAACTCCGGTAATTGGGGGTGTTTGGGTGGAAAGGCTCCGGTTTGTTTGGCTGTCACACGGGGCTGCGTTTCCCCCGTCCCTGTCGTGCCTATCGCGACTTAGGCAGCCAGGTTAGGGCAGGCTGATCCCAGCCCGGGGGGCATTCCAGCCCCGCAGCCCCTTTGTCATGGAATCCTTCCCAGACTTCAGAGGATCCCACCCTGGGAATGCACAGCAGGAACCGCCATCCCCTGTGAGATCCCTGCCAGGAGGGGACAAACACCCCGAGGGGGGGGACACGGTGACAGCCAGCCCTGGCACCACAAATCCCAGTGGAATTCCATTGGATTTACCACCCCATTCCCTCCTGCTCCTTCAGATTCGGGTCAAACAGCACCTCCTGTGCTCCGGGGTGACCCCCAAAACGGGGGCAGATCGTGTAATTGGATTAAATTTGTAATAATCTACACCCTTTACGACACTTGGGTTGTTTCATGGCACTGATCAGCCCCCGGGTTCAGTGGGATTCGCTTTCATTAGGAAGAAACACAAATTAATTCGAGCAGATTTTTATCATCAGCCCTGATTTCATCACCACGCTCGTCAGCACACGGACATGCAAAATTCATGCAAAGCCCACTGAAGATATCTGATTTTTAGACCATAAATTCTCTACAAACCTCCCAAAATCACTCATTCTGTTTAGAAAAGGAGCTGCTTTAACCATGGAAAAATTAAGTGTATTCCACAGTCATTAAAATGGCAGCTTCTACAATAACAACTCACTTTTGCTTTGCACTTGGATCTTTAAGGAGACTCATCCCTCCATTTTATTAAAAATAGTACTTAAGAAGGTATTTTTATATGCTGGGTTCTCTGAAAATACTGGTTTGGCAATACAAACATGGTCAGCTTTATGGCAGTAATTATAATGAAATGATAATTTGAGTTCATTTAATGCCCTGCTTGAGCTTCATTTGTCCCCTTTGGAATTATTGCCATTTTTCGGCCCGATCCAGCTGTGCCCTGTCCTTTGTGCCAGTCAATACCCATGAAAATCGAGCTGATCAGGGAGAAAAAGAGGCACTTGGAGCAACTGCCTGCACATCCAGCCCCAAAATATCCCGAATTACCGGGCCCTGGGGGGGAAGGTGCAGTAACCACATCAAGGAATTCTTTGCTCTCTCCTTTGAGCTGCAGATATTGGATTAAAAGCCACTCTGGCTGACTCACAGATGCACAAGTTTTGCATGTTTATGTCCTGCCTGTAGCTCAATAAAACTCCAATAATTGAGGGTGTTTCAGTGGAAAGGATCTCATTTGTTTTGCTGCAGTTCACAGTGTGTGTTTTATACATTCCTGTTATTGTTATTTTTAGTTTCAACTTGTGAACCCGTTTCTTGAGACAGGAAAACAACAACCACTCTAACCAAGTCGTGTCAATTTTTTATTTCCAACTGTTGCAATGCTGCATTAGTTACTGATTGATGTGGATTAAACCTCCCAGCAGTTTTTCCTCTTTACATAAACACGATAATACTGAAGTTTTACAGTCCTCAGGACCCTGTCTCTAAAACATTTCTGCGTAACAACAAGCCATTAAAATTAAAAAAAAAGCTAAGTTTTGAGACTGTTGACTTATTTATGTCCTATAAGCTGCTTTCCAATCCTATTGCAGTGAAAACCTCCAGCTGGGTGGACCCACAGAGCGCAGCCACCAGCACAGAAAATACACCTTTCAACTTCACAGGGTTTTGAGTCCCAGGGCCACGAATTCAAGTTACAGGAAGGAGGAACAACGTGTGGATGGGAGGGAAACGGGCACAGTGGACCCCAGAGTCACACAGAGGGTACAAAGTCAAAGCAGGGAGAATAAACACCTTCATTTCCCCACCAGCTCATTCCTGGCGAGAGGCACGAGGGAAGCAGAACAAAGACAAGACTTTTCTGATTCATACCTGAAAGGTTCAGGCTTTTATCCACCTGCATGAACAAGACTTAACTTCGTTTAAAACATTTTCCCTTTCAGTTGCTTTAAAAACAAGAATTATTCCAGCTGGCACTGCCCATGCCCACGTCCCTTCGACGCTGCCCAGCCCAGAAAGGGCATTTTTGATGGGGCTTTTGAAGCTGTTTTACAGAATTAAATCAAGGGATGGGTTGCTGGCTTTGTTTTGCCTGGTTTTTTTAAGCCCCTTGTGCCCCAGAGAGGTCTCTGAAAACACACACATCTGCACAGGGAAATCGTTTTCCTGTCTGGTTGGGGTTTCACACGAGCTCCAGCAACGGCTCTTTCTGCTGTGCAGCTCTTGGGGGTTTTCTTTTTAACATCTGTCTCCTGTGGCAGATGTTAACCAACAGTAAATGTGGAAAATAACCCCTCCCAAGGCTCCCACTGGGACTGGAAACCACTGGGCAGAACAGAAATGATGTAGAATAGGGAAAAAAAAAAAAAACAAAACCCACAAAAAAACCCCTTCCTTTGGCTTTTTGCTTGAGGCACTTCTGAAAGAAAAGAGGCAGGTTGGGAGGTGCAGGCACCAAAGAGGCACTGGGAGGTTATTAAAGTGACACATAAAAGGTGTAAAGAGGCTTTTCTGCCCAGGAATTCCCTGGGAGGGTGGCACAGGTTGCCCAGAGAAGCTGTGGCTGCCCCATCCCTGGAAGTGTCCAGGGCCAGGTTGGATAAATTTGGAGCAACCTGGGCTAGAGGAAAGTGTCCCTGCACATGGCAGGGCGTGGTATGAGCTTTAAGGTCCCTTCCAACCCCAACCATTCTGGGATTCTATAACTGGACGGAACAGGAACTGGGAATTCCCAGTTTCCACGAGCTGAACTGAGCAGTGGGTGGCTCCTGGGCAGGGCTTTCTCCACCTTTCAGGCTCCAACACTTGGTCTCTTTGCCAAAACACTTTAAGGTGCACGTACAAAACTCAATAAATAACACCTGAATCTCAACAGTTTCGTGACAGATCCTTTTAAAAACTCAGGCACGTCTCCTCATGTTCCACAAAGAACTAGAAATATTTGTAGGATTAAACCCCATTTCCTTTCCTTTTTTTTTTTTTTTTTTTAAACACAGTGAAGTAAAAGTCAGCAAGGCACTTCCATTTTGTTGCTAACCAGTTCTCCATGTTTCCACAGTGAAAGCAGCAGCACAGAAAAGGGGGTATTTAAGCACCCCTGACCCCAAATTTGGCAATATTTCCATGACACAATCCTAGCCCAGGTATTTCAGCTTTTAATTAAAACATTGGAGCACTGGTTCTACATTTATTAACACTTACTGTCCACTTATAAATTATTTCCGGCTTCAGAGAAGGAAAACTTGGATTTTTTTATGCTTAGTGAAGGCAATTGGTTCCTTTTCTACCACCTTCTCCCTCCATATATTATACAGAGTAAGAAAAGACAGGCAGGAGGAATAATTTGCCAAAGAAAACCAGTCCTAATTCACGAGGAATCAGGACAGAGCAATTTATAGTCCTGTTTTCAAGGGGAAAAACGTCACTGAAGGCCATTTGCTGAAATCCAACCCTTTAAAACATGGGCAGGACAATTCTGTACCATCACACAGCCATGGAAGATCAAAAACCATATCAAATCCACACACTCTTCTAACTCCAGCCCTGCAGTCTGAGTTTCCTGCTCTCTCTCCTGAGTTCTCTGCTGGGCTTGTCCCAATTTTTGGGCACCAGTTTTTCCCCACAAGCAGTACCTGGGGTACCTGGGGGGGAAGGAGGCACCAGAGAGAAGTGGGGAGTGGTTTCTTCACTTCCTTTTTGTCCCACAAAGTCTTTTCCTCCTCTTCCCCCCCCTCTCTAAAAGCAGTGGGGGGGCTTTCAGGGAGTTGTTTCCTGCACCAGCCCTGCCACCCCAAATTCCCTCCTGGCCGCAGGATAATGGTGGGAAGGCAATTCATCAGCACTTGCAAGGCTGTTCAAAAGGGGTGGGGGGATCCAGGGCGTGCTAAAAAGTGAAAAAGGACCCTTGTCCCGGCACACAAAGGGGTTTTACAGCCCCCCACCCCCCCATCCAGCTCCCCCTGCCCCAATAAAGGGGCAGCACACCAGGATAATGGGATGGTGCCAGAGGGGGAGAGAGCAGGGAGGACAGAAGGCAATTCCTGACCAGAGCTCGAGGTCTCTGCTGTTGAACAGCACGGTCAGAACTCAGGCCAGAGAGGGGCTGTGCTGCTCCACTGCCCAAATTCCCCCTGGAACCTGCCCAGCTCTGGTTCCACGGGCACCACGTTGATCCACAGCCCCCTCACACCCTCAGTGGTGATGCTGGGATGTGCTGGGTCTGTCCAGGAGAGACTCTTGTAATTCCAGAGCACGGAGCAGGGAGCTGTGATGTCACGCTGGGAATCCACAGGGAGATCCCCCTGGACTCTGTGGGTGGACCAAGGTCACTGCAAGGCCCTGGGCTGGTGCCTCTTGGGTGTGGTGGGTGCAGGAGGAGGGGGGTAAAGGTGCAACAGTATTAAAAATACACCTTCAGCAGCCTGGGACAGGCCAGCACCTGGCAGAAGGTGAAGTGCTCAAAAATTAAAAAAAAAACCAACAAATATAATCCAAGCCCTGTGCTTGGACACAGCCTGTGCTACATCAGAGCTCCAGCCACACTGGGAAAAAAGAGGAATCCTCCCACTCCTCTCCTTTCCACTGCTCACTCAAGTCACTGTAGCAAATGCTCTACTGAGAAAGAATATTCACTAAACAGGAAACAGTCCATGATCTTGTGAAAAAAAAAACACCCCTAAACCAGGGAGATAGGATGATGATAACAGAAGGACCATCAGTGCCAGACCCGAGGAGCTGGAGTGTCAGGGGCTCTAACAACACGCCCAGCCTGGTGGGGAGGTCTCTTTAAAGTTAATATAATCCCCACTCCCAGCAGTGGAGGAACTTCCATCACCCGTGGATGAGGACATCATCTTTTCAATCAGCACTCTGCAAGACAAACATTTGGGAGTTTGGTTTGGGGGTTTGTTGTGTGTTTTTTTTTTTTTTTCTAACCAGCAGCATTATGGGGGGGCCACCCAGCTTTTCAGCAGTGCAGAAAAGAAACAGCAAATTCGTCCCAGAAGATCACAAAACTCCAGAAAATGACTGAAAAATCAGGTTAAGGGACTTCACAGCACTGAGAAGAGGATTCCTAAGATCACCTGGCAGCAGCAGGAGACTCTGCAGGGACTGGATAACTCACAACACCTGCTGCAACCACCTCACCTCGGGTCCAGTTAAGGACTGGGACACATCAACAGACCCCCCTGGGTACCACCTGCCCAAGCTCAGCATGAGCTGTGAATGCCCAGAGCAGGTTTAGATCAGATACAAGGAAAAAAACTCCTCATGGAAAGGGTTGTAAAGCTCTGGAAGGGGCTGCTCAGGGCAGTGGTGGAGTCACCATCCCTGGAAGTGCTCTAAAAATGCGTGGATGTGGCACCTGGGGACGTGGTTTAGTGGTGAACGTGGTGGTGGTGGTGATGTTTTGACAGTTGGACTGGGTGATCAGTTCCAGGGATGGGGAGACCAAAACCTCTCTGTGCAGGGAATTAACTCTTGGATGCATCACCAGGCACTGTTCCTACCTCATGGCCTCGTTGATATTCTTGTTTTCCTTGACAGATGTCTCCACCCATCCCGAAAAGCCGTTTTCCTTGCTGAACCGATCCACTTCTTCCCTTGTCACTGCCCAGGGGGAAAGGTCACACTGGAAAACAGGAATCAGGCATTTCAGAATCCCAGAATCATGCAGTGGTTTCACTTGGAAGGGGACTTATACATCATGTCATTCTACCCCCTGGTACAGGCAGGGACACCTTCCACCAGCCCAGGTTGCTCCAAGTTTATCCAACCTGGCCTTGGACACTTCCAGGGATGGAGCAGCCACAGCTTCTCTGGGCAACCTGTGCCAGGGCCTCCCCACCCTCACAGGGAACAATTTCTTCCTAATTTTTAAGCTGTGAGGGCCATTTAGTGCCTTTGTGCAGGCAGCTCAGCCCTCCACAGCTCCCAGATCCCCAGGCTGAGAGAGGGCTCTCGGGGCAAGGTTCCTAATGGGATGTTGCAAGCAGCAATTTATTTATCTCATCTGAGTTACTGACACACCTCAGTCAAGCACGCATGGAATGGAGCTTCAAACACTGTCCCTCATCCCAAATCTGCCTCTCAGCAGCCAGGGAAGGAGTCCCAGGTGTGGTGGCACTGAGGCCACAGTGATGACAACAGGATGTACCAGGAGGCAGAGAGATCCTGACCTATAACAACTCGTGGGTCAGGCACACAGATTTCCCTAAAACAGGCAAAACTGTCACCTCAGAACAGAATCCCAGAACCACTGAGGCTGGAAAAGCCCTCCCAGCCCAAGGAGTCCAAGGGAACAACTCAGCGCATCCACACATGGAGTCCTACCAGTCCCACAACACACACACAAAACCACACAGAAACACCCCACAAACCCACACAGACCCAGCCAAACAGGCCCAGAGCACGCCCAGAGCTCCTCACCTTGTTGGCCAGCAGCAGGCAAGGCACGGGATTCCCATCTGGCAGCAGGAGTTTGCTGTCCAAATCCTGCTTCCACTTCTGGCTGTTGCTGAACGTGCTGATGTTGGTGACATCAAACATGATGACACAGGCTGAGGCCTCCCTGTAGTACAGGCGGGTCATGGACGTGAAACGTTCCTGTCCTTGAGGGATCAAAGGGAAAAAAAAATCACCCCCCTGGGGTCACTCTTTTGGGATGATGTGTTTATTGTGGTCCATCCTTTTCTCAGCTGACACTCATGATCCCCACTCAAATAATGAGGACATTCAGGCAACTCCAGTTTGATCCAGTGATGGAGCTGGAGCAAACTGGGCAGCTCTGAATGCCAGCACTCAGATCATAAAATCGCAGACTGGTTTGAGTGGGAAGGGACTTTAAAGCTCATCTCATTCCATCCCCTGCCATGGGCAGGGACACCTTCCACTAGCTCAGGTTGCTCCAAGCCCCATCCAACCTGGCCTTGGACACTTCCAGGCATGGAGCAACCACAATATTTGCATTATTCTGGTGTCCTTCAAGCCAGCCCTGTGTCCCCACACACCTCTGAGGTGCTGGGAGTGCCCGGGGGCTGTCAGCTTGGGCATCTCCTTCTCTTTGGGCACAACAAGGGCACAGTGCCAGCCTGGCCCCCCCTGCTTCCCACATCTGAAAAGCCTTTTTTTTTTTTTTGGTGCCAAAACTGAAACCAGTTTCTTGCTGCAATCCTCCCGCTGCCAACTTCTCCTTCCTGTTGCCTTTTTAAGGATTCCAAACACAGGCGGCCGAGCAGCCAAACGGGAGGAAACCACAGCCCTGTTTTTCTCATCTCTCCGGATCCAGAGGTGCCATTTTAGAGACGCTGCTGCCCTGTCCTGGTGCCAGGGAATTTGGGAAAAACACGTTTTCCTGCACCTCTCCAGGCAGCAGGGGCTCCTCCCTCCACCTCAGCACATGCAACACTGTCCCTTGGAGTGTGTCCTGCTCCCGACCTGCTCACCCAACATGACTCTTGCCATGCCTGTTCCCAAGGGATCCACTGGCCTTGCTCCCACAGCTCATGGAGCAGCCAGATCCCAATCCTGGCAGCCAAAGCAGCGTGAGCTCCATGAAGCTGCTCCATGCAAGGCTCAGGATTCCTGGCTGTTCACGCCAGAAATACAAGTTTTAGTACAAGATGTGGAGCTGAGAAGTCACATCTCCAGCTACAGATGAGCCTGTTCCCCCATTCCCTCTGCTCTGGCTTGGAAACCAAAGGAAATGCTCAGCAGGAATTACCATCTGTGCTGCTGAGCTCCTTGCAAATGGGCCTTTAATTAAATATTTAAATCGCTGTGGCAGGCTAGAGCCAGCCCTGCAAACCAGAGCAGTCACACCCCTGGAATGCACAGGCTCCTGGGATTTATTTTGGGAGCAAAAGGACTTACCTGCGATGTCCCAGAGCTGCAGCCGCACCGTCTCCGACTCCGACCACTGAACCACCTTGAGGGCGAAATCCACTGGAGAACCCCAAAAAGAGAAAGGAAACCTCATCAGGGGTGTTCTGCACCCCAGAGCTCATTCCTCCACAGCCCTTCCCCATCTCCCAGCACAGGCCAAATTGTGGGACCTTCCAGAATCCCAAACCAGTGGGTTTGTAACCAGCCCATGCACAGCTCCAGGTTGGACGGGGCTTGGAGCAACCTGGGCTGGTGGATGAGCTTTAAGGTGCCTTCCATCATTCCATGATTTGATTTAACTGATGCAGTGAGTCAAAAGGGGAAACCCTGTGTCCCTTGGATTCTGATGGGTCAGGTTTTCACTGCAGGGGAAAACCTGTGTGGCACCACTGGCAGCCAGACTCGGCAGGGCTGGAACTTACCAAAACCAGGAACTAAGGGGGGAAAAAAAAAAAACCTCACAAAAAAAAGAAGAAAAAAGTCTGCAGCTCTTCCTGCTGGGACAGACTGTGGGCACAGCCCAGCGCTCTGCCCACGGGGATGTGGCTCTCCAGTGTTTTCCACTTTTAATCCATCCCCTCCTCGATTCCTGAATAAGAAGACTTGAACAGCTCTGCTTGGCCCCCACTATTTTGGGCCCCTGGGGAGATTTCCAAGGAAAAGCCTTGTCAGCTCCTGCTCCTTCCAGCTTATTCATTTACACCCGTGCTGAACAAAGAATCCACAAACCCACTCAGCCCCATTCCCAGACCTGCCGCTGCCCCACGACCTTCCCAAGCACCACCGACACCCCAGTGGTGGTTCCAGGCTGCTAAATCCATTCCAAACCATTAATTAATGCTGCTGGTTTTTGCTGGGAAGAGCTGAGCCTGTAACCTCAGCCTGTCCAGGGCGCAGCTCCTGGGGGTGGTTATTCCCAGGCAGGGGGGAGAAGGATGGGGCAGAAACCCCCGGGGGGGGGGGGCTCCGGGAAGAGGCTCTGGGAGCTGCTGCGGGAGATGCTCAACAAATTCCGCCGATGGGAGCTCGTTCCTCTCCCAAATTCCCGCTCCCACGGCTGCGGGGGGAGCAGGACGAGCATCCCACGGGCGGGGGGGCGGCGGTCCCCGGGGAAACCCGGGGCGCTCCGAGAGGGCTCGGGATGGGAACCGGGGACAGACCTGGTGGAGAGGCCGGTGCCGGTGTCGGTGCCGGGAGAGGGCACCGAGACCCTGGGGACCACAGGGAGAGCACCGGGATCCCCGGGGGGAGGGCAGGGTCCCCCAGCTCACCTCCCACGGTGGATTTGTAGTGCCGGTTGAAGCTGTCGTTCGCGTAGCGCTGCACCAGCGATGTCTTGCCCACCGTGGCGTCCCCGACCACCAGCACCTTGAACATGCGATCGCGCTGCCCCATCCCGGCCCCGGCCCCGGCCCCGGCCCCGCCGGTCATGTGAGAGGGTCAGGTGGGGCAGCGGCGGAACCGCGGCGGGGCTGCCGGGATCTGTAGTTCGCTCGCCCTGCCTGCCCTGGGCACCCCCGGACCCGGCCCTCTGCATCCCCTGGTCCAGCTCCATCCATCCCCTGCACCCCCGGATCCAGCTCCATCCATCCCCTGCACCCCCCGATCCAACCCTGGGCATCTTCTGCACTCCCAGATCCAGCCCTCTGCATTCCCAGATCCAGCCCCCTGCACCCCCGGATCCAGCTCCATCCATCCCCTGCACCCCCACATCCAGCTCTCTGCATCCCCTGCACCTCCGGATACAACCCTGGGCATCCCCTGTACCCCCAGATCCAGCTCCATCCATCCCCTGCACCCCCGGATCCAGCTCCATGCATCCCCTGTACACCCAGATCCAGCCCTCTGCATTCCCAGATCCAGCTTCTGCATCCCCTGCATCCCCCGACCCTGCCCTCTGCATTCCCAGCCCTGCTCTGGGCACCCCTTGTATCCCCAGCCCCTGCCCTCTGCACCCCCAGCCCCTTTGCAACCCACAGATCAACAAAAAAACCCCAACGCATATTAATAGATTTTTATCCCTTCAGGGTCTTCACCTCCCAGTGTTTCTTTCTCTCTCCAACACGGGCTCCTTCCCCCATCTAGAAAAGGCCAACACACCCCCTGCCCGCCCAGGACACCAGGGTAAGGCTGATATTCAGCGTGTGGGATGTGAGCCAGCAGGGGCTGGGTGGCTGCTCCCCCACCTCTGGCACTGCCAGGGCTTTGTTTTGGGGTTCTGCACCAAGATCCTCTTGTTTGGGCGAGCTGGAGGCACAGCCCTGCAGGGAATCAGCGCCCAGCAGCTGGGGAGCACGGGAGTCCTTCCACAGCCAGCCATTCCTGCAGATCCAGGGGCTCAGCGTGCCCCAAAAGCTGCAGAACCTTTTTGTCCCACAAACCTTAATCAGCAGGCACAGGAACCAGTGTAAGCAGCACTCAGGGAGCCAGGGCTGGGCTCTGTACCCAGAACAAACACCCAGATTCCTGCTGGGAGCCCCCCCAAGGCCAGGTGGAGGTAATCTGGCACTTAACACTAATCCCACTTTGCTTCATGCCCAGCAATTTATTTGATTTTGCGACTCTCCTGCCACTGTGTGTCGAAAGAGCTCCAGCCTGAGCTAAAATAAGCTGCAAAATGTGAGAACCAAGCAGAGGCATAAGGAGGAAACACCCCACAGTCCACATAAATAAATGTCATCTTTATTTAACCAAATATAATTTATCAGTTAAGTCGACATCTGTCAGTTATAGGAACTATAAATAATTAAGACAGTCTTTTTTTTTCCTTTAATAAAAGAATAGACCAGGATTTTTCATCTGCAGGCAGCTGTAGAGTAGGCATGCATTTGAGTGGAACCAGTGGGAAGAGGTTTTTCCATCAGTATTCCTCAGTTTTAAATTAGATTCTTCCCTGCCCATGCCCCAAACGCACCTTTAGACCATATGTAACACAGGGACCCCCAGCCCAGCAGCTCCCACCCCCTCGGGGTCTCTGCACAAGAGGAAGATTGTTCCTCTTCTCCTGGGGAAGTGAAGAGTGATGTGACACCTAAAAGACCAGGAGAGCTTCTCTATGTACACATAAAAGCTGAAGTGTTAATGTCTCGTATCTATTCCTCAACATCAGGCAGAGAAATCGGGTGGGCGGCAGAGAACGTTCCAGAATTCTCCAGGCTGAGAGCCCAAGCACAGCAGCACAGTTGGGGTTTGGTTTGTGGTTGGGTTTTTTGGGGTTATTTTGGGCACAGCTTTGGCCAGATGAGATGTGTGAGAAGTCACCAGTGGGGGAGAGAGGAGGATCAGAGCTGCTCCCACATGGGACATGGTACAGACTAACTTTGGTCTTGGCCTGCCCCCCTGGGTGCATTGGCTCTGGCCTCTGGGAGAGGCAGGAACTGTCCCCAAGGAATTGCTCCTTGCCTAAAGAGCAAAGCTATTTCACTTAGGCAGCGCTTTGTAGAGCTCTGTTAGCTCTGGCATTGCCCCGAGTTGTCCCCACCTGCAGTTACTTCAGGTGAAGATCAGCGTTGCCACCACCACAACGGGGCTGCCTTGCAGAGAGCCAAAGGGAAGAGACGAGCGCTGGTTTGTGTGAGAAATCTGGAAGTCAGGCAAAAGGAGGAAGTGATACCAGCTAAGGATAGTCGTGCTGTGGTGGGAGGAACAGGTTTAAAGCAAAGCAGACAGCCCCAAATCCACGCCCAAATTTCGGGTTCTGCTCTGTGCCCAACATGGCGCCTGGAGCCCTCAGGGCAGTGCCATGTGGCCCGGCTGTCAATCAAATCAGGCCTGCCTGGGAGCCCGCCCACACCACACACTCCGGCCATCTGATTGGCCACAGCACCCATCACTCAGATTAGGTGAGCACTGAGTGGTCAGTGAACCAGCTGTCCCGCCCAGGGGGTGTGGCCACAGCAGCCAAACCCTATAAAATGGGGGCACAGAGGCTCCATCTTGTTTTTGTCCCTCGGCTTGTGACCATGTGAGTTGGTCAGAGCTGCTCGTGGGAACAGCCTCAGCCTCCAGAACTGATTCTGATCCAAATGGGAGCACTAAAGAGCATTGAAGGCTGAAAGAAGGATCATTTCAAGCACCTCAGTCACACAGATGGCCAGGTTTCCTCTCACTGTGTCACTGTAGGCTGTGTGAGAGCCCTTCCAACATGGATTAAAGAGGGGAAGGGAAGGAATTTCAGCCATCACTGAGCTGAGCAGCACAAAAAGCAGGAGAGGAAGAATCAGAGAAGCGAAGCCTGCGCTCCCAGTGCTCAGCCAGTGCTTCCAAGCTGGGCTGTCACCCCAATCCCAGATTTTACACCCCTGTGCTCCAGCCATGTCCTCAGAGCTGCACCAAGAGCCAGGGCTCCTGAAATCTGGCTGTGCCTGCTGACCTGTTTTCCAGCTGGTGCCTGTACAGAGAGAGGAATCCCGTGGCTGAACATGGGTATCCTTCTCTAACAGGCACCAAAAGACTAATGCTGACCAGCTTGAAACACCTTGGGCTCAGCTGGGAGAGGCACTGGGTGGCTTCTTCCCAGCTGCGCTCAGCAACTGAAAGAAAATCTGAACACGCAAAATAGGAGCTATTTTTCCATCCACCCCTTCCTGAAACTCAACAGCACTCAGCATAACTGTCCTGAAAACGGTGCTGTGCCCGCAGCAGCACGAAGGAGAGGCTGCAAAGAGCAGGTGGAAGGGGGATGATGGATGGGGAGAGCTCACAGCCCCTTAGGACGAAGCACAGAGCAGCTGAACTCAGCTCATAAGAGGCAGAACAAGCAGTCTGAGGTGCTGGATGGTTGGCAAAAGGGAGACTAAATCTGCCAGCAGAGACCAGCCTGCTCACGGCCAGGCTTGGGGGTGGACTCTGCAGTCCTCAGTCCCAAGATCACTCACTTCCCTGTGGGCACACAGGACCCTTCCTCACCTTCTTCACTCATCCCTCTCCCAGAAACCCCCTCACCCTTTGGGTGCTGGGCAGGGGATGGAGCTTCAGAGCCAACACAAGGCAGGAGGGTGTCAGGGCACAGAAGGCAGGAGATGCCCCGTGCCCTCCTCTGTGAGGTTGTACTTTGCTAGAAGGTGCCAGTTCAGTCAAATAAACCTGAACTTGAGCTCCAGGATTTAAAACGCTTATGAAGCGAAAAAGCAGCCCTTGACCTCGAGTGGGTGGGGCAGGGTGGGCTCCTTGCACGATCTGACTGATCAGGAACTTCACTGTAACCTTGGTTCAGACACAGCTCCTACGAAATTGCACTTGGTGATTGTCTCGTTACACTTTTGTTTTTGTTTTGTCTTTTTTTTGCCCTTCCTAAAACTAGAGAGATTTTTCTGTACAAACCGGGCTTGGAATATAAACCCCATAACATTCCCATTGAAAATAATGAGAATCCGGTACTAAAGGTGAAGTCTCAAGAGAGACGGGGGTGTGGGGAGGAAGCAAAGAAAAGTAAAGGTGGAGGAAAAGAAGCAACAAGAATGAAAGGAGGAGGAGAAGGGTGGGAAGGGGGGAGCAGGGAGGGAGCTAATCCCCCACATCGGAGTCCCGGTCCCCGATGAGCCAGAGGATGTGAAAGCTGACAGCGAGGAGCCCTGTCCCAATGAGGTCCCCCAGCGCTGTCAGGTATGGGATGGAGAAGTTGTCTGGGTCGAGGTCCCTGTTCCACATCCAGTGCACCATCCAGTCGGCGATGTAGAGCAGAATAAGAACCTGGGGGGGGGAGGGGGGGCAGGAAGGGAAGAGCCACACATCAGCCCCAAATCCCGAGCCCTGCGATCCCAGAGGTCAGCTCTGCCAGTCTGGCTCACAGAGGCACAGCCACATCCCAAAGAACCCCCTTCCCGAGTGCTGCGTCCTCCAACTCGAGTGAGGGAGCGGGTGCTGCTGCAGGTGAGGTGGCAGTGTCCCCTGGCCCAGCCTGGGGGCTCAGCCCCCCCCAGGGGCTGCACTCACCTGGAGCAGTGCAGCTGTCATGTAGAACACCACGAAGATCAGGGTGAGCGTGGTGTGGCCCCCCTGCATGGAGCTGATGGTGTAGAGGAAAACCAGGTGCCCAGGCACCACCAGGAGGAAGAGCACCCGGGCAGAGCGGGAGTTCACGTCTGCAGGGGGACAGAGAGGGACATCAGGCTTGAAATTCCAGCACAGAAACTCTCACCCACAGCTGCCTCCCAGCAGGCTTGGGCCACCCTTTCCTGTGACAGCGCTCCAGCCACTGCCCCAGGGAGCCCAGACAGCAAATGCAGCCGCTGCTGCTGCCACAAGTCAACGTATTTCAAGGGCTGACACAGATACCTGAGCTGCAGAAAGTGCTGCAAGGGCTGGGGCACTTCCAAGGGGCTGTTTTGGAGCTCTCTCCAGGCATCCCACTCATGTGCAGGTAGGTGGAGATGCGGCTGGCCTGCACTGCCACCAGGTTGCCACCCACACCTGCAGGTCAGGAGAGAGAGGAAGGTGATGTTTCCAACACTCTGAAGAGCTGTTTTCAACAACCAGCAGATCTAGAATTGCCAGGTGCTGGGATAATGTAGGACAGTCTATTTTTGACCCAAATTCCCCCTTTGCAGGATGTCAGGAGCTCAGACAAAGCACACTGTTCTGCAGCTTCCCTTCAGGCCCCTCGGTAAAAGAGATGCCATTCTTGGCTTGGAAGAAATATGTGAAACAAAAATGATGAGTCAGACACCAAAACACACACAGGAAGTTTAAAACTATTATTTTTCACATGAGGCGGAATGAAACTGTGAAACCTACCGGCACAAGAGGCACTGGCTCAGAATTAACCCCATTTCTTGCAAAAAGTAATTAATAAAAAGGAGTTTGCCTGGTTCATTAGGCAGAAAGGAGGTCAAAGCTTTATAGCAGAAGCAATTGGATTTCCTGACTCCCAGGTGCGAACACAAATCTCCACGTTGCCAGGTGCCACAAGGCAAATATTTTGGGAGGTGGGGGTGTCCCACCAGACAGGAGGAATGAGGAAGTGAAGAGGTCCCTGGAAAAGTGTCTGTTAGGAAGAACAGCCTCCCAGGGCAGCCACCCTTCAGTGAAAGGCTGGCACTGGGGGGAGCCACGGTGCTGTAAAGCTTGAGTCAAAGCACGGTGCCTCACTGGCATCCAAGAGAGATTCATTGTCCTTAACCTGCTTGAAATAAGGCCCAGGGGACAATTTCAATGTTTGCCAGGAGCCTCCAAGAGCTGCAACCCCAGCCAGGGTGGGAAGGACTCACCATTGATGACTGGAGTGAAAACAGCCATCCCAGCAAAGTTCGGATCCGAGACCGTCCTGTCCAAAATCAACCCCCCAACGCTGCAGGGGGAAGATGGGAGAGGTCAGTGCTGGAATGTTCCTGGAGTGAGGCTCTGTGTGGGTGTGTGTGGAGGGGGACAGGAAGCCTCCCACCTGCTGATGGCCATGGCGATGACGACGGGCTCCCAGCTGGAACAAAGCACCTCCCAGGTGGCAGAATCCTTCCTGGCCACGAAGACCCAGATGGGCAGCAGGGCCAAGAACAAGGAGCACACCAGGGGATTCACGTAGAACTTGCTCTCTGGGTGGGGGGAAATAAGAGAAATATCAAGGACACATCCCACTGCAGAGGGGCAGGTGCTGCTTCAGCAGAGCTCAGCGAGCCTGGCCACAGACTGCTGCAGGTGGGAATGCCAGGAAGGGCAGGGAAACTGGGCCAGTGCAGCCTCAACTCTGCAGGACGTGGTCCTTCTTCCTCCTGGTGTCCTCACAGGGGTGGGAGTTTTACTCATAGGGGTGTCACTACAACATCACGGGGCACGGGGCTGTGAGGACAACACTCTTGGGTCTGTTTATCAACAGATCCCAGTGAGATCTCTTCCATCTCAACTGCTCATTCCCACTTCCCGCTCCTGGGCAGGATCTCCCAGTGTTGCTTCACCTCTGGATGAACCTGGCTGAGTCACATCCCTGTATCCTGGCCCCGGGGAAGGAGGAGGAAGTGGAGAGGCTGCAGCTGCAGCCCTGCACTGAGGATCCCCAGCTGGTGCTGACTGCACAGCTGATGAAATCCAGACCTTCCTTCTCCCAGTGCTTGAGCCACAGACAAGCCCCCGGCACCTGGAAGGGGACAAGCCCTTCCTGACCACTTCACCCATCAAGAGGGAAGTGTGCAGGTCCCTGCCAAGAGTGCCTGCAGCTACAAGGCCCTGAGAAAGTCCATTTCCTCCCCTTATCAGTCTAAGTCTCGCTAACTGAGGGAGTTCCAGACCAGGAATCCCACATACCCCAAGCACAGAAAGGGCAAAGGAAGAGGGTGAGGTGAGTGGGAGATGCAGCAGCACAGGGAAGGACCAGGCAAAGGCCTTTTGTTGCTCCTCACCCAGGTCCTTGTACAAGCCACAGCTGATTCCTGACAGCAGAGCCAGGGTGACGAGATCCCCCAGGCTGGCAGCAATCGGTGTGGCCACATTATCAGGGTTGATCCCCATCTTCCTGGATCCGATGATGACCCCAATCATAATCATTCCTAGAGCCAAAAGGAGGAAAAGAGCAGGGTGAGGCCAAAGGGAGCCGAGCGTTTTAGGCAGAGGTGTGCACAGAGGGTGTTCAGCATCTGTCTCTCACCCAGAAAAAGGGAAGCAACGAAGGCAGTGGCCACGCTGCTGGCACAGAGCAGGACAGCATGGTACAGGCTGAAGTGCCCATCTGGGATCCATCCGAACACCACGGCTGCGATGGAGGCCAGGAAGCCAACCACGGTGGCCTGAACCTGGAAATGGACACCAGAGGGTCACCAAGAGAGCAAACAGCCCCAGGGTGAGGGAAGAGGTTGCTCAGAGAAACTGTTGCTGCCCCATCCCTGGGAGTGTCCCAGGCCAGGTTGGACGGGGCTTGCAGCAACCTGGGCTGATGGAAGGTGTCCCTGCCCATGGCAGGGGGTGGAACTGGATGAGCTTTAATGCCCCTTCCAACCCAAACCACTCCATGATTCTGTTCTGTGATTCTAAGAGGGAAGCACCACCTAGGATCCCGTGTCAGGTGGATTAGAATCCAGCAGGGAAACACCAAGTCTAACCTGTAGGGCAAAAAGGTGCCACCTGCCTCCCCATTAGACACAGAATATTGTCAGTCAGTAGCAAACCCAGGTATTTAAACCTTCTGCATTTGCCAGAGTTGGGCTTGCACCAGCTACCAATATTCCACTTCCTTCTCCTTTCCCTTTTTCTTACCAGTAGCAGAGCCATGTTTCCTGTTATCATCTTCCAGAACTCTTTGGGTGTGTCCATTTGGCCAATATTAGCCTGTAAAAGGGATATGGAATATCATTAAAGACTGACAGCTCTGCGCACAGGCCAACAAGTGAAATTCCTGCCTTGCAGCTCTGCAGAGGTGTGTTTGCAGGTGTGAGGGGCCAGCTGGGGCACAGGCTGTGACTGTCCCTTGGGGTCTACACCCTGGGTAACTACAGCATCTCTTCCAACTGCTGCTCTGGATTTACCTGCTGGAAATCTTGCAAGAGCACCGAGATCCCCCCCCGCTGTGTGTCCCTTTGTAGTCACACCCTGCTGCTCACTGACCCACCACAATTCACTGCCCTGCTGACACAGCCAAGCCTGGCTCAGGCCCAGCTGGGTCGTGCTGCCCCTCAGGTCAGCCAGACAGGGGTGCCAGGTCAGCTGTGCGTGCCCCTGCTCCGACACGGAGCGAGGCCAGGGCAGCACGTGGGCAGAGGAAGCTGGCAGCAAAAACACCCTGTTTGGGTTAAAAGCTGAGTAAACAAGGCCAGGGCCACGTGGGGATGGACTGGCGGGAAGCAGCCATGGCACAGGGGTCACCTGGCACTGCTGCAGCTGCGGGAGATGCTAATCAGGATAACCAGGAGAGATGGAAAGTTGCTTTAATTCCCTGGGGTGCGATCTGAAATAGCCCAGCGGAGTCGCTGCTGGTCACTGCGGGGCACCAGCTCTGCTCTTCCCGACCACCTTCTGGGGCTTTTTATGGAAGAATGGATGAGCAGAGTATATAAACTTGTACCTAATTTGTATTAGTAGAAGTTGATGAAGATGGCAGCAAGATAGAGGCTCAAATGTGTGTTGGAGCTGAGGGCTGACAGCACCGAACCCAAACTTCTGCACAACAGTGCAGCAGCAATTTCCTCCTCTCAGGTTTCCTTGCTGGTTTCCTTGTTTTCCTTCCAGCAAAGGAAAACAAAACAAGAAAACCAGGAGTCAATGATCAACTAATCCCTCTGCTCCCCTTGCTGCGTGTGCCTGAGAACTGCCAGCTCAGTTCAAGCAGCACTGAGATGCCCTCAGCTCTGGAGTGAATTATTCCAGGTAGTTTAGTGGAGAGGAGGAAGGAAAGGGGGATAACTAACAAAAAGTTGACTGGAGTAGCACATTCAGCACAGGAATTTGAGCTCCATATGAAGCCTGACCTTAAAATTCCAGCCACATGGCAATTAGGCTGGGATTAACATAGCCTAGCTGTAGTCACTGCCAACAGGATTTAAATCCTTTAACTAATGGGAGAGTTTTGCTTCTTAATTGTGAAAGGAATGTCTGAGGTGCCTTAATGCAGCACTAATTAGAAACCCAGAGTCTGAGAAACCACTCTGGGCTGCTTTGCTGTGGAGAGAGCACGGGATCCACACCGGGAAGCTCCGGTCAGAGGGGAGCAACCCCCCCCCCCCACGCCTGCACGTGGGACCCCACGCTGAGGGATGAGCAGGGCAAGGGGAAAAAAGGAAAGCCCAAAAGATTGTCCTGTCCCACCGTGCACAGACAAGAGGAGGCTGGTGGACTTGATGATCTTGGAGGTCTTTTACAACCTTAATGACTCTGTGAATTCCATGATTTGAAGGAGGCAGAGCAAGGCTCTGGGACCCCTGTGGAGGCAGATGGGGCAGAGGGACACAGAGGCCAAAGCCTGGCTGTTGGCCCACGAGGCACCAGCAGACCAAGCTGGTGGGTGCTCTCTGTGCTGGTGTCCTCCTGACCCTCCTCCAGCCACCAGAGCAGATGGGGCAAAGTTTTGCATTCCTGGCTTTCCACGTTTTGGGTTCTCTGCCAGGCCTGCCCCGACACTGCCCTGTGCCAGCCCCAGGAGGGAAGAGGACACACAAGTGCCCCTCTGCCTTTGTCCCAGGAGAGCCAAGCACTCACCCTCATGCTCAGAAAGGGCAAGCTGGGCAAGGTCAGGAGGGAGAAGGGCCAGTGTCTGGGACAGCAAGGATCCTGTCAGGATCCGAACAATGGAGAGCGAATAAAACAAAGGGATTTGTTTCCCAGAACCAAGGGGCAAACAAAGCTCAGCCTCTGTCCCTGCAGGCCCTGGCACTGCTGGCCCAGGGGCAGTGTGGGGCCTCCCAGCAGCTTTGCCCTCCCCACAGTGGCTGGGCAGAGGAGCCCAGCCCCGAGGGAAGCAGCCACAGCCCAGCTTTTGGCAGGCAGTGCTGGCACAGCCGTTCCCAAGGCCCTGCTCCTCCAGGGAACGAAGGGCAAGGGCTGCATCCAAGGAGGAGGTGCTCCCCACGGTCAGCAGGACCTGTTCCACCCTGCTGTGCCTTCTCCTGCAGCAAGCAGGAGGGGAAGGCTGAGGGGAAGGGAACATGCCAAGAAGGAGGTTGCTGCTGCCACCCAGGCAGACAGTTCTCCATCCCCACATCTCAGCGAGCACTTCCCAAGCAGCTCTCTCGAGCCAAGGTGCATCAGCACTGTGGAAGCCAAGGCCAGGCTGGCTGCTGCAAGGACTCTCTCCTCAGCAGCTCACAGCACAGAGGAGCCAGAAGCTTGGCAGCAGGCAGCTAACACCTCCTGGATGTAAAGTTCCAAGTTCCCATCATGGGGAACACAGGAACATCAGTCACTTGCTGTCATGCTCAAGCAGGAGATGCCTTGCAGCAGGAAGGAATGGTATTGTCCCTGTCAGGAGAGGGTGTTGGTGTCTCTCCAGCAGCTCCAGAGACAAGAGTGCTTGTGTTGGAGGGACATTTAAACACAAAGCCATTCATTTACAGCTGGACTAACCCAGTGCTCCGAGGAGCTCACAGAGCCTGCCCCATCCCTCACAGGGAGCTCAGTGTTCCACAGGAACCCGACTCAATGGGAGCAGGAGATCTCCATCACTTCAAGAGCCTGTCAATCCCCCTCTGAGCTCTCAGTGCAAGGTCCCCTCTGCTTTGCTGTACAATTCCTCCCCACCCTGGCTCCTTCCAGCCTGCTCTGATAGCATTCCTGCACCAGCTTCCTCATAAAAAAAAACCCTGGATCCAAGCACTCCAAAGCCATCTCTCACCGTGCCCTCAGGCCCCTGAGCAGCCAGCACAAGGAACTGAGCTGTCAGCAGAGCTTAAGGACCATTAAACCTTCAAATCCCATCAGCCCAATGGGATGAAAACACCTTCCCAGCATGCTGAACTCCAGGCTCTGGTGTCTGTGGTCACCGGCACAGAGATTTTCCTTCCCACCTCTTCCCAAACCCGGCATCCCACTCCCTCCCTCAGCTCCCTGGACACTCACAGCAGTGGACAGGCGGGATGCCAGAGTCATCTCCAGGTTCCCCTTCAGGCCCAGCAGTGCAGGTACTAAGATAAACAAATTGGTCACGTTTTTGAAGACGTCCCAGTGCTGCAAGATTAAAACACAGGCCGTTAAATCTTGGCATGGCCCATATAAACCCCTGGCACTGCCCCCAGCAGCCATCCCAGTCCCCTTCCTGCTGCCACACTTGGGAATTTTGCAGTGGTTTTACAATTCTTGACATGTGTGTAGCAGGGACCACTTTTTCCTTTTCCTGCTGAGTTTAGAAAGCAGCTCTGAGCTGGCAATTTTCAGTGAAAAATTCCCCCAAGATTCCCCAACTGACAAAATGTTTACACACAGGGAGGCCAAAATAGGGAAAGAGGAAGAGACTTTGCCCAATATTTGCAATTTTTGGCAGAATCTGAAGCTTGGTCACACTCAGCTGAGAGCCATTCCTACATGTGTGCCTCACAAAGACATTTTGGAGCAAAGCGTGGCTGCTCTCTGATCCAAAATCCAGCCCACTGTGGCCACCTTTCCCTGGTACCTCACCTGGCACCTCCATTACAGGTATTTCCTAACTCTTCTGGCTCTCCAGTCAAGTCACCTCCCCTGGGATGAGGGAGGGAGGCAGCCATGGTTATGTATGAAAAAAAAACAAAGGGTAATTGCAGGGTAAGCAGCCTTATAGAAGAGCAGCTGGCTTGCAGGAAAACACAAAACCACTCCAGAAAACCTCCCAGTTGCATTTAAAAAAAACCCTCAAACCTCACTGCCCCTTTCTGTATTGTCGTGGATGTGTTGCAAGAAGGCCCTGTGTCCAAAATAACTCCTGCTTCCCACACTGGTCTGGCTGCCACACTCCTTAAAGGACACTGGAATCACACTGGGCATGTTAAACATCCCAGCTCTGCAGCTTTACCTGTCAATGGAACCTGCAAAAGTTACCTGGGAGAGGCTCCACCTCTCCCAGAGCTTTTCTTGGCAGTGTCAGACTTGCCAGGCTCACCAGGGACGTGGATTTCTTTCTAGGACAAGGAAGACTTGTGGGCCAACACCTCCCAGCGAATATAATAAGTCACTCTACCTGGGTGACTAATACCTTCCTGTGGGGAAGGGTTTCAATCACTTTTGTTTATTTTTCCATCCCTCGCCACTAAGCCAACAAGTTGCAGTTTCCTGTAGGTCCTTTGCAACACCCACATTCAAGCTGCACTCACTTGAAAAACCACGGGAGAGAAAAGTGCTTGAGATGAATAAACTGAGACCACTTTAAGGTCCCTTCCAACCCAAACCATTCTGGGATGCTCTGACAAGCTGACCACACCTCCAGCTCCCAGGTACAGGGATAAAAGCTGCTCAGCTACCTCAGGCACAACCACAACCCTCTCTCTCTGCTCCTGAGGATCCCAGTCTCCAGGGGAAGCCACCATCCCTGGAGGTGTCCAAGGAAGGACTGGACGTGGCACTCAGTGCTCTGGGCTGGAGGACAAGGTGGGGGATTGGGCACAGGATGGGCTTGATGACCTTGGAGGGCTTTTTCAACCTCAGTGACTGTGACTGTGTGTGATTTCAGTGCTCACTGCTGAGCAGAGGAGGACAGCAGTCTCAGACACTCCATCCAGCCCAGCCTCATCAACCCAGTCAGGCTGAGCTTCCTTTAAGACACATCCAGGCTCTCCCCACTCTATTTTTAGCAGTCACTGTGATTATTTTGCTGCGTGGTCTACGGGTGAATTCTTTGCTACAACTTCCCTCAGCAGCATCCAGAGCTCAGTCAGTGAACACCATGCTGCCACTTCCCAGCAGGACGAGCTGGGTGTCACCAGAATCACTTAATGAGAGGAACATCGTCATTAGTCAGACCAGGGGCTGGAGTGCAAAACTTTCCTGGCTCCAGAGATCACAGAGGCAGGATCAGGCTAGAGCCAGCAGCAGCTCAAACCCTCCCTCACCTTGTCCCAACCCTGGCTTTGTAAATGAACCTTTAAGGGGGGAGGCTGCACTGCAAACCCGTGCCAGAAGCAGCTCCCTGAGCAAGACAGGGCTGTTGCTGGAGAAAGGAATAAAAGCCATCTTTGGGGAAGGAAAACAAGGAGATTTCTGCAGAGATCAGCAACTTGCTCACTGCAAAGAGCAGGACCCATGGGCTCCTGCCAACTTTCTTAACATAAGATGTTATACAACACTGGGCTTTGGGCATTTCCTACAGCCCCAAGGGCTCTGTGGCTCCTGCAGGGAACAAAGGCTGACCTGTGCTCATGATGTGGCTGCAGGGGCAGAGCCAGAGCCAGGCTGTTTGGGCAAGACAAAAAAAAATGGGGAAGAGAAGAGGAAGTGGGGGACTTTAAAGTTCAGGACATCGAGATGATAAAATCCCTTTCTGCCTGTACCAGCCTCTGGAGGGTCTGGATGAAACACCAACCCCCAGGTGCTGTTTTGCAGCTCCCTGCCTTTGGGAAGCTCTGCACTGGCAGGCAGATATTCCCAGGGGATCAGCTGCCCCTCAGCCGTGTGCTTTCAGTCCCTGGGTGTGAAGTCAAGGCTCTCAGCTCAGGAGGAAGAGCTGGTTTTGCTCAGATCGCAGCAGGGCGGTGATTCACGACTCAGGGGAGGGGCTGCTGCATGTCGGGGCTGCGACTGCCTCGGTGCAGCTGCTTCTCCCGGCATTCTGCCTCCAAAATGCCACGGAATGGGCAGCCCTGACAGGAATCCAGGGCTGGCAGTCCCTGACACCCCACCCTGGAGGGGTGGGAACACCAGAGGGGGTCAAGCAGGCTCCCCTCATCCATATGAAATCCTGTCCATCCAAAGAGCCTCCAGGGAGCAGATAAGTGTGGAAAACAATCGGGGCTCTCCTGGGAAAGGGGACTGTGCCAACAGTCCTGCACTGTACACAAAACCCAGCAGGGCACTCACATGTACCTGGCCTGGAGTCTCCTCCATCCCAGAGGCAGCAGAGGCAAATCCTCCTCCTGAGAGGCACATTCCCAGGGACACGTTAATGGGGCAGCATGGCCAAAGGCCAGGGCTGCTTGTTTTCCCAGTGGGGAGACCAATTACAGCTGGCTGATTAGTCCAGTTCTCCAAAACACAGGACGTGGAGTGCGTGGAGCCCCCCAGCCAGCGCCAACCACGGCTGCATCCAAAGCCACGGGGCTCCAGTGACCCACTCCACATGCTCCCTCCTTTCATCCAAGGCTCTGAGCCTTTGGAAGCCAGTTATCAGGATCAGCTCCCCAAGCCAAGCCAACGAGCTTCCCCATCCCCCCTTTCCCACCCTATGGCATTTGGATGCCTCATTTAATCCCAAGGCTGGAGGGAGTTAGAGCTGCTGGCAGGAAAAGCTGCCCGGCCACACGCTGGGCTGCTGTGGGACACAGGAATTACAGAGTTTTATTTGCAGTGGCCATAAAAGAGAAAGGCAGGAGAGAGCACAGGGCTCAGCTGCAGTATCCCAGCTCCTTCCCAGCCAGGAGGAGCTGCTCCTTCTCCAGGAAAAACTTCAGGTTGGGTTCAAATTCCTGGCTCTGGGCGACTTCCAGGAGAGCCAAGCACGAGTTTTCAGGGACCTTGCCGAGGGAAACACTGCTTGAAATGTCTTTCTTTTTAAGAAAATGATTCCAGTAAATCTCTCTCCCCCGGATTAATTTAGCACATCCAGCCTTTCCTGTTTTGAGTCACTTCACGGCTCTCTCGACGGCCAAGAGAGACCGTAAGGATGACCAGAGTGCAAAGGCACGCAGGGAAACTGCTGTTACGGGCAGGACACCACGAGGACTGTGTGCTTGACCACCCACGAGTCCAAAAAAACCCTCTGACTGAACTTACCCTGGCACAGGGCTGGGGAGGGGATGATCTGAACTGCCAGCAACACCCAGGACTGACACTCGAGCCCTTCTCTGCCAACACTCCAGGGCTTGTTTACCTCACTGGAGCAAAGAGAGGAGCTTCAAGCAGAGCATTTTTGGTTGACCACAGCTCCAAAATGGCTGCCTCCCCCATCCAAAGAGTTTCATAAACCTGCACTGCACAGATGAGCGAGTTCTGAGCCTCAGTCACCGCTTTGGGCTGGGCATCAGACAGCTCTGCCCAGCCCGTCTTCCAGGGCAAAGGAGAAGGGGTGAAGCAACTCCTCTGCTGCCAGACACACATGCATGGAAAACGTGTCAGAGACCAGTGCAGGAGCCACAGCTTCCAGAGGCACAATTCCCACATAAAAACACAAACAGGCTGCCAGGCTGTCAGCTTCCCACAGTATCACCTGCCAAGGTAACACGGCTTTCATCCAGAGCTCACTGCCAGCTCTCTATGGCAGGCCTTTCCTAAGGATCACCTCCACACACCTCCCAGGAGGAACCACTCCTTTAGCCCTGGTACCCCTGGCCACTTCAGGAGCACGAGGAGGAGGTGAAGGGGCCACACGTGGCCTTTAAGCTCTGGAATGAGCCCCCACACAGGTGTCCAGCACACGCTGTGGCAGGAGAATCATTAACCTGGCTGGCACGAGCCTGGCACAGCAAGCACCCAGGATGGAAAAGGGACACAAGTGGAACTAGTGACCGGGGCTGGGATGTCACCAGCCACCATCAGGGAAGGGCTTTATTTCAAGCTGTGATGCAGCGTGGTCTCAGGTCCCACGTTGTGCCAGCTGTGACCTCCTCCTCTGAGCCACAGCTGTGCAGGGGTGCCCTCGGCCTCTCCTTCCCTCATTCCACACATCACCAAGGTCTCCCTGTCTCCCCCTCCCCAGACCCAGGGAGGGTCTCCTTCCCTCCCTGTTGCCACCTGCTGAACTAGCCCTGGCATTCCAGTCCCTCCTGGCTCCAAGAGACAGGATTCGGAGCCCAGTGCCATGCCAGGGAAGCATCAGTCCTACCTGCACAATGTCCAGCACCATTCCAGCAGCAACTGTCCCAAAGCCTGCCAGGAGGAACGGGAAGAGGACCTGCAGCCCGATGGAAAAGGAGGTCTCCTTGAGGGGCGAGGCTGGCTCCGGACTCTGGTGTGTGCTGGTGTCATCGCTTTCATTGCTCTGGCTGCCATTTTCCAGCAGGGCATCGTCCTCCCGTACCCCTTTGGCGTTGGCACGGGACTCCAGCACCACTGCTTCCACTGCAGCAGGGCCCAGGAAATCTGAGGGCTCCGCCAGCTGCCCCTGGGCCGCACTGGTGAGATGGTCCACAGGCACAGCCCCGTTGGCCTGGTGGGTCTCCTTCTTGTCAGGCTTGGAAGACATGCTGTTCGGAGGCTATCCTGACCCTTGGCTCGGTGGGCCTACAGCCAGCAGCTGTTCCAGAGGAGATCTTCTGCCAGGAGCTTACACAAATGGCCTTTCCGGCATCTAGGAGTGACCTCTCCTACCCCTGCTCGCCTGCCTTGGAGTGCAGAGCCTGCTCCTGCAGCAGAGATCCCCATCAAGCAAAGTCCAGGAACGGGGGACACCAGCCACTGAGAGAGCAGGAACTGGGGACGATGGCCAGTTAATTCCCTCTGGTTCTCCCCTCCAGTGCTGTGTTACTACAGCAGCCTCCAAGGCAGGATCCGAGCTTTCCTTCTTTGATGTCTGACACTTCAGTGCATCTTTCTCCAGGTTCTCTTCCCGCAGCGCGGCTGCTGTGATGGGGCACCCAAGGCAGGGAGAAAACCTGGCTTGTAGAGATGATCCAGCCCAGAAAAGCTCTTTCTGCTACCTTCTCTTGCTGTCTCCAATAGCGCTGTGCCCCTGCAGGATTCCAGTCTGAAGTCTCCTGTGGGTTTTTTGCTCTGTCTCAGCCTGGCTTGCACTCTCTGCCAGCAATCCCAGCAAGCTCCAAGTGTCACTGCCGTCCTCCTCTTCCAGGAGAATTTCTCACCCAGCAGCACAAGGCGACCACAGCTCTTATTCAGAGCAACAGCAGGTCCCCAGTTAAGGTCGCTCACTGAGCTGGGCAGGCTGCAGGGTGGGCTCTGGCATTCGGACAGCCCTGGATTTGACGCGGCTTTCCAAGAACTCGCCTTTCACCTGAAATACAAGGGAGGAAAACAGATACTCTCTTGGAATCCACGGCAGCACAACAGCCCCTTCATTTCTGTGCCGAAGGTTCAGCCTCCAGCGCACCCCGGACTATCCCCTCGGCTCTTCTTCCCCTCTCAGCGGGGCCGTGCCAGGGGACAGAGGGATCCCCGGAGCCCCCGGCCGGGGCTGTGCCCCCGCCCGCCGGTGCCGCAGCGCCCGCAGAGCGGCTTGGCGGGGGGAGCGGGACCGGAGCGGCCGCGGCGGGGACACCGCGGGGACACCGCGGGGACACCGCGGGGATGCGCTGCCCGGAGCGGAGCGGAGCGGAGCTGCCGCGGCCGGTCCCGCGCCGTGTGCCCGCCGTGCCGCCGCTCCCTCAGCGCTCCCTCAGGGCTCCCTCAGCGCTCCCTCAGGGCTCCCTCAGGGCTCCCTCAGCGCTCCCGCCCCGCGCTCCCTCAGCCCTTTCTCACCTCCCTCTCGGCTCCCTCAGCGCTCCCCGGGCCGCTCTCCCCGCTCTGCCCCGCCGGGCCCGGCGCGCGCCGCCCTGACATCACCCCCGGCCAATGGCAGCCCTGCCCAGCGCGCCGCGCCGCGCTCCTATTGGCTGCGGGCGCGTGGCGTCACTCCGAGCCCCGCCCTCCATGCGAGGACGGCGGCGGGGAGGGGATGGAGGGGAGGCCACGCCCACTTCGCGGCGCTGGGCGTGGCCAGGGGGGTCACGTGGGGGAGAGTCCGCGTGGAGCAGGGGTAGCGATCCCTGTCCGTCCGTCCATCCATCCATCTGTCCATCCATCCATCCCTCCATCCATCCAATCCATCCATCCCACCCATCCATCCATCCCTGTGCTGTGCCAGGATCCAGTGATCCTGCTGGCCATCCACCATCCTGCTCTCCATCCATCTGTCCATCCCACTATCCATCTATCTGCAATCCTCTGATCCATCCATCCATCCATCCATCCATCCATCCATCCATCCATCCATCCATCCATCCCACTATGGATTTGTGCTTTGATTATCCCCCATCCAGGGGGTGTGGCTGGAGCCAGGCCCAGGAACACTGACACAGTACAAGTGGTACCCACTGGCTTTCAGGCCTCTGGTGGAGTTCAGGGAAAAAAAAATCAGGAATATTGTCACGTCCACACTTTGCCTGTTTACGCCAAACTGTTCCCCAACAAACAAACAAAAGCTTTAAACCTCCTGCTGCAGAGGTCAGTTCCTCAATGCTCTGCAGAATGTCATGTTCTTGAATGACACCAGCTCTTCTGATTCATGTTTTCCTTTTATTTCCCCCTTTTTTTTTCTTTGTTTTTTGTTTTTTGGTTTTTTTTTTTTTTTTTGCATGAGTGGAACTTATGAGCAGTTGTTTTTTCCTTCCTGCCTTTCCTTTCCTCCCAGGAAAGAGTCAGCAGCAAGTCATTACTCAGGGTGATGACGTGATCCCCAGCTCCAGGCCTTGGAGACAGGTTTTGGGCCAATAAGGGTGGCTGTGACACAACCACCCGTGCAGGGGGAAGGGGGAGGGCAGCACAGGAACCACATTCCCCCATGGATATGGGGACACAAGTGTGACTGGAGCCGGTGACTTCATTCCTCGAGGAAGCCAAGGCAGTTGTGGGCAGCAGGGGATCCATTGTGATCTGAAGCTCTGGGCTCTGCTGCTCCGTTTCTGTCTGCTCTCGTTAAAAATTGAGCAAGGGGAGGGTTTTTTTCCTGAAATATTTGCTGCTCTAGGAGAAGAGGGTGACTGGAACACGTGGAGCTGAGCAGGAGAACTGATCACAGAAAGCAGCTCTGATGAGGGACTTTACACGGGCAGAGAATGACAGGACAAGGGTGATGGTTTTAAACTGCCAGAGGGCAGTTAGGTGGGATATTGGGGAGAAATTCCTCCCTGTGAGGGTGATGAGGCCCTGGCACAGGTTGCCCAGAGAAGCTGTGGCTGCCCCATCCCTGAAAGTGTCCAAGGCCAGGTTGGACGGGCCTTGGAGTAACCTGGGCTGGTGGAAGGTGTCCCTGCCCTTGGCAGGGGGTGGAAGGAGATGATGTTTAAGGTCCCTTCCAACCCAAACCATTCTGTCATTTCAAGGGCTGAGGAGCCTCTGGAGTCACTTCTCTAATTCCCAAACCTTCCCCTTGTGACACCAGCAAAGAGACCTCAAGGAAAACTGAAGACATACAGACATTTTTTGAACTAAAACCACAACACACTTCCACACTCACGCTGGGATTGGAGCTCCAAATCCTCGCTTCCAACCCCAGCCTCTGTTCTTTGTCCAAATAAACCTGGGGAGGGCTCTCCTTCCGCCTGCATCTTTCCTTCCTGACTCGGAAAATCCGTATCTGCCCCGGAACAACCGTTCTTCCCTCACCTCCCCAAAAACAAGGCACACCAAAACGTGACCTTGGTGCTGCCCAGGCCACCTGCACACTCAGGAAGTGGAAGTGTGGAGACAAAAGCTGCCTGAGACAAGAACACAGAAATAGATAACCCCCCCCCACCGGAGCAGAGATCAGAGAGGCAGAGGATGAAAGGGCAGGAAATGGGTTTCCAATTGCAGGGAGCAGGTACCAAGGGCAACAAAGTGTTTGGAAAGGGAAGGGTTTACCACTGAGCTGCGTTGGATCAGGGAATGTTGTTGGATCAGGGAATGTCGCGCCCGTGTGTTTTACAGCAGCCACGTGATTTTGGCACTGTCAAACTGTCCAGCTCTGGGCCAGCACTCAGGAACAGCCTGAGAGCCCACAGTGGGTACAGGGTGACTCCCCCGTGCACAGAATCCAGCAAAATAAAAGGGTTTGCCCAAAGTCACTCAAAACATCCCCCTAATCCAGAGCTGAGAGTGCCCTGGGAGGTGCCTTTGCTCCTGTTCCAGCTCCACCACTCTGTCACACATATCAGTGCAGTCCCAGCTGCCTTTGACCAAGGATCCCGAAGGAACTGAGTTCCTAATGACTTGCAAACAGAAATCCCAACAGGCAAACGCAAAGACTGGTCGTGACTTACCCCTTCAGGTGTCAGTCCAGAGCAAAAACAGCTCACGAGGGCAGGCAGCGATGTCAGAGGCTGACCTGGGAGAAGAAATGCAGACCCTGGAAATTCTGCTTTGCCAGCCTGGAAGCAAACCACCCCATCACCACCCTTTTATTTTTCCCAAGGCCCACACAAGCAGTGCTCCCAGCTGTGTTCCTGTGTCACCCACGTGCTGTGACAAACACAGCTCAGCCCCAGCCAGGTCCGTCCCTTGGGCTTTTGGCCACGTGAGAGCTCCTGGCAGAGAGGAGCTGGAAGGTCCTGGTTTCCTGTGCTCCACAAGGCCAGTGGTTCCGGTGAGATAGCAGGGACGTGGACACCTGTCCTGGAGGCACTGAGGATGTGCCTCACATTTCGGTTTTGTTCCGGATATGGGCTGTCAGCTCATTTATATTCAGCAGTTGGGCTGAAGAAAACACCAATACCACAAGGCTGGTATTAAAAAAGAATAAATGAAAATCAACTCTAACTCCCTTCTGTTTTACAGAATCACTGAATAATTGGGGTTGGAAGGGACTCCATGGGGGTCACCTTTCTACTGCAACAACAGGCACAGTGTTCAAGTGATCTGACTATTTACAAGGCTGCAATAAACCATACGTTGTGTTGGATTGAAAACACAAGTTAAAATGCATGAAAAGCACCCTGGGAAATGCTGCATGCTGCTTCTAAACCTCACTGCCCAGGCTGTGGGTAAATCCATCAGTGCCAAAGAGCGTTTTCCCTTTGTCCCCTGCCCTCACCACCCTTCCATGTGGTCATTTTCCTTCCTGCTGAGAACTGGCTGCAGCTTCCTCTGGGGCCCACCACCACATCTCTTCAATCAGCTCAGTGATCTGCAGCGAGCAGGGGGCAGGTCCCTCCCTTCCCCACCACGCTGAGCTCTTTATCTCCACCGCCCGCTGCCCCGGGAAGTGTGGGAGCGGAAAGCGGAGCCAAACCCCTGCACGGCAAACCTGATGTCACACAGCCTGCCCTGAGCTGCTCAGCTGGGCCAAACAACCCCTGGGCAGCACCTCTGCACCACTCCAGGCACGGAGATGGTGGTGCTGTAGAGAGACCTCACAGGTAAAGGCCAAGAGAGGAGCCAAGAATGCAAGTGTCAAATGCCAAGCTGGAGGAAACAACTTTGTAAACACCTTGTTCCTGCGTCCTCCTGCAGCTCTGGGCCTGCACTCCCCACGGTCACTTGGGGCTGAAAATAAACCAAGCCCTGTGAAACAGAGGCCAGCAACACAGCTTTCTTTAGAAAATGCAGGTGTGGAATGTGACCTTTTCTCCATGGTGTAGCAGGTCCTCGTGCCCCTAAATCAGCTGGCCCACAGCAGGCTGGGATGACTGGACAACTGCAGATACGTCATTTAGAGTTGTCAGAAGAATGGCAGCTTTGTGGACTTGGGAAAAAAGGAAGTTGCTATGGATATAACACAAAAATGTTAACACACTGGAATTGGACTAACAGAGCGCTCAAGTCATTAGTATGACACCAAGTTACCTGTTTTCAGAGCAGAAAATCAGGCTTTTCCTTCTCTGATGAGTCAGAGGTAATTGCTCTCCATGCTCAAGGCACAGTGAGTCATTACAACCAAAAAAGAATAGCTCTGGGAGTTAATAATCTGTGTTTTCAGGGTGCACTTGGCATCAGCGAGGAACTACTCACACCAGGCAAAGCTGTAGGTGATCTCAGCAGGAAAGGCCAGCACATCACCTGTGTGTGTTGGTGTCACATGATGACACCAGGATTTCCCACAGCACTCAGGGTAAGAGACATTCCCATTCCTGTGTCAGGGGAGCTGTGCAGACACCAAACCCTTCAGAATAGTGTCAGATGAGCACGACATGGCAGCCAACTTGATAAAATAAAGAGGCTTAAGAACACAAAGGCAAAGCTGCTGCATGGGAGAAAAAGCACAGAGGATTATCAGAAGTGACTGGGGAAAACGGGCAGAGGTGGGGAATGTGCTTTTCCAGCAGTGGATCCTGCTGGTGTGTTCAAGGCCCCTGCAGTCTGGGGGGCTCAGGATGCAGCAGAGCTCTGCTGAGCAGCGCAGAGGCACTGCACGATTTCAGCACTGGCTGATGAGCAGCACTTAATGAGGCTCTGCAGAGAAATCTTCATGGCACACGTTTGCACAGCACCTGCCAAAAGCAGCCCTGCCTTCCCAGAGCTGTTTGCCCTTCACTTTTCCTTCAGCAGCAAAATGAACCTTCAGATGAATGTCCCAGAAGGAAACAATCCTCACCAAAAACACAGAGGGGAGGGATTTGGGGTTGGGGACGGCAGATTGCAGAATATAAAGGATGCTGTGTGTCTTCAGGACTCTTCTGCTGTTACAAGAGGCAATGAACCCCTCCTTCCACACCACAACAGCATGACCCAGGTTAGAACTTTCACCACCTGTGCTCCCTCATGCCAGTCCTGTTTTCTCCCATTTCTCCAGCCCGTGGAGGTCCCTCTGACTGGCAGCACAACCATCAGGTGTTAAACAACACTGACCCCGCACAGCAAAGGCTTCAGACTCAGTTTTACAGAGATTTGCCAGTGAAAAAAAACCAACAACAAAACCTTCCTGCACCTCCCACCCCCGGGGCTGTGTTTTATTCTCTGCTGGGCCCTGACACATCACTTTTGCTGTGCCTGCAACAGGAGTTTGCAAGAGGGATGACACCTTCACAAAAGAGCCACAGGCACGTGGCTGAACAAATCACTGACGCCGGGGCACACAGACAAAGTGCAGCAAACCATAAAAGATGCAACTATTTACTGCCCAATAATGCCTGAACAGAGCTAGCTGGTTTTGTATAGGAAGGGGGAGCACCAGGGAGGGTGCAAAAGATCAAAGCTGGCTGGAAAAAAAAAAAAAATATGTGGGTTTGTTTTGATGGAAACTTTATGAATTGCTCCAGCGTAGAATCAGGTGTGGAAATGACTTCACTGCAATTGTACAGTTACATAAAAAGACTAAATAGCAATCAGAAAAGAATCCAAATTCCTTGTTTTATTAGGTGAAAACATCAGTCTTGTTTCAATTATTTAGTTGGTGGTAGAGTTGTAGCCCTCTGGCCACAATGATAAGATCACATTGCAAATAAATAAGAGAATGGTGAAAAGAAAGAAGAGGAATCACAGTTCCATCAGTGTTTTTCAGGATACATTTCGTGGTATTTCCTGTACATTCCAATACATTTTACAGTATGAATTTAGAGCAGAACAACCACCCATTCCAGTGTATAACTCAGGCTGTGAAAAAGAGCCACATCTCTGCAGCAGGAGGGAGATATGTGACTGTGTGTCAGTGCTACAAGGCAGCTTTCACCCAGACTTCTCTTGGCTAATATCAAGGTGCTAATTATTTATTTGTTTAATTAATACTGGTAACCCCAGCTAAAGAGACCAACAAGGCCAAAAGTGCTATCAAGGACAGGCAGGAAGTGCAAGATGAAACAGAGTCAACATCAATGGCCTGTCTATCCCAGGATTCCCGAAGAACTGAGGCAGTGGAAGTGCTGCAGCAAAGTGAAAACTGCACAGGCAGTGAAGGAACAAACCTCTGGTTCCACTGAACTGGAAGAAGCTGAAGGGCTTCACATCTTTCACAATCAAGTTCTCAGAGGAGCAAATGAGAAACATACAGTACAGGAACTGATTCAGTGAAAAGAGAAAATAAATGAGCTGACAGCAGTGGGTTAGTTTCTTATTTCAAGCTGCAGTCCCTTTACTCTGACACCCAGCTGCACAACATACCCTGAGCCACACCAAAGAGTCAGGGAGGAAAATAAAAAAAAATAAATCACTAAGAAGACAGGAAGAAAAGTTTTCAGCACCTCATCAGTTACAGCAACTTCTGGAGCTCAGTATTTTAAAAGAGAGTCAGAAATCAGTGCATGAATGGAAGAGCTTGGCAGTTGGGAGGTAACACTGACACTGGCTGAGAGCACCTTGGATGCTGGCTGAGAGCATCCCCTGGGGAAGCAGCCTGGGACAATCCCCTGGGGAAAGCAGCCCAAACCCAGCAGTGCAGTTTTGAACTCTTAGTGTGACTCTACACGAAACCTTTCAGCACGTCACAAACCTTCCACGTGAGCTGCTGACAGACACCTCATTTACACGAATGAAAAGTCAAATTAACTGTATCAAATGAAGTTTGCCAAAAGCCCAGAGGATGATTCACCTCTCACTGGCGAGTGACTGCTGATTATAGCTGAGATTTTTAAGTGACTGCCAATTTCAGAGGCTTAAAGAAAAAAATTAATGTCAGATTAATGGCTGCACGTCAGACCAGGGAGGAGCAGAAATCAGGGTTATTTGTTGTGTTTTATGCAGGTTCTGTGGCAAACCACACATTTTCCCGAAGCAGCAACCAGCAGTTTTTTCCATCTGTATGTAAACCACCATATACAAGCCCCAAATTCCAGATGGAGCTCAATGGCCAGCACAGAACTGCACCTTCAGCCCAGCCCCCTGTGTCCCACAGGCCACCTCAGCAGCTGCTCCTCTCAGGGTGTCTCTCACAGCTCGTGGGAGCTGGAGTGGGGCTCTGGAAGAGTGTCAATGTCACAGTTCTTGATCAGCTGAAAGAGGAACTCAACCTGTTTCTCATAATTCTCAATGGAGATTCTCTCATTCAACCCATGGATCCTGAAAGAAAAAGAGGAGTGGTTTTGACTCCAGTGTGTATTTGTGACCCTCTTGCACGTGCCCAGCACCCTTCTTGCCTGTTGGCTTCATAAAGCAATGCACAACATGAACAGAAAATTCTGCACTGTAACCAAACCAAATTTACTGATTCTAAGGCTCTGAGCAAAACAACTATGTCTGTGGTGTATGTGGAAAAAAAATCCTAACAGTATTCCAGCTCTCTGCCCATTTCTTGGCCAGTTATGTCACTGTCCTGCACAGCCAGAACACTCTTCTGCAGCACCTGCACCTCCATAAAATGACACATCTAATACATGCTAAATGAGCAAATAATCCCTTGCATGATGATGCTGTTATCAGTTTATTTCAGGAAGCGTAATTTCCAGCTTTAAGGAGCAAATCAATTCAGAGTGGAATGCGTCCAAAAATGTGGGTAAATCTCCTGGACAAGGCCAACTACCAGAACACCACCTTTCACACTCCTGCAGCACAGTGAGCTCCACAGCATTGCTGGCCTACCAAATGGAACCCCTAAATGAGCCCTGCCCGCATTTGAAGGGACAATGAGTGAGGGCTGATGCTCTCCCAGCGTAATTTCCACCCCCATTAGAGCAGCACCCAAATCTGCAGGAAATGGGTGGCTTGGCCGGGTGTGAGGCCACGCCACCAGCACGCTAAGGTACACAAGGTTGGGTTTCCTTCTGCCTGAGGCAGCTGCATCTTCCATTTCCCTGCTGCCCAGCCCAGCAGCTGCCCACAGCAGGCAGAGCTCATACCTGGGGAGATCATCT